GAGAGATGCTTTACTCAGGAAGCCAACTTTGCTGGTCCAGTGAGGCCTTCTTCCAAGTTCGTCAGTTTATAAGCATGAAGCCCTACTTCCCTCTGGGAATTCTTGGAATTCATCATGTCCTGTCCTGGTTTTTTTTGGTGATACGCTTGACTAGAGTAAACTTACAAATGTTTCAAAAGTAAAATCAATATGTAGCTTCCTTATATGGAAAAAGCTGTTATCTGAAAAGATACCTAATTAATCTCAAGCCAGGTAAGCCATCTCCTCCTGGGCCCTAATTTGTATACTGGTAAGGTTATTTGAAAATGATTGTTTTTTGGAACCACTAACACGTAAATGAATAAGATATGTTTACCGGATGTTTTTAAAACTTGCCTGCCAGAAAAGTTTAAATCCTATAGAGAGGGATGCAGAGGGTGGGCAGGTTCGAAAACTCTTGGAATTGTAGAGTCATAGAATGCTGTTATAGAACTGAAAGAGCTGCAGGTACCCTTTAATCTATTGCAACTTTTTATGAAGTAAAATTACTCTAATGTGATAACTCTTCCTAAGTGCTGATATATTTTTAACAAAGTTTTTGTCAATTTGAGGCAGAATGAGAAAAATGCAGTTGCAATGAGCTTTTCATAAAGCTATGTATATTCAGTTTGAAGACCTGTTACTCTGAAATGATATATTTTCTAAATTTGAGGGGTTAAATGTCTGGTCTTTTATGAAATGATGGTAACAGTAGATAGCTGGGTTTTGGGTTTTTTTGTTTTTTGTTTTTTGTTTTTTGTTTTCTGAGACAGTGCCTCACTATTTCGCCCAGGCTGGTCTTGAGCTCCTGACCTCAAGCAATCCTCCTGCCTCAGCCACCCCAGTAACTGGGATTACAGGTGTGAGCCACTGTGCCTGGCAATAGTTGTGTTTTTTTTAAACAAATACCTTTATTTTGCCCAGGCACGGTGGCTCATGCCTATAATCCCAATACTTTGGAAGACTGAGGAGGGAGGATCAGCCAGGAGTTCAAGACCAGCCTGAGAAACATAGTGAGACCCTGTCTCTATGAAAAAAATAGAAAAAATTATTTGGGCATGGTGGTGCATGCCTGTAGTGCCAGCTGCTCAGGAGGCTGAGTTGTAAGCATTGCTTGAGCTCTAGAGTTCAAGGCTGCAGGATTCTTACCGCAGGTGCAGTGAGCCATGATTGCACCACTGCACTCCAGCCTGGGTGACAGAGCAAGACCCTGTCTGAAAAAATAAATTTTAAAACCATCTTTATGAAAAACAAATTTGGCAACCCCATGTCTTTCCCTGTATCTGTGTTTGTAGAGGTGCGTCTTACTGGCCATTAGGATGGAAATGTCTAGGAATGCACTGAGCTAGCGTATCCACCCTGTACCAGTGGATCTCGACTAGATGGAGTCCAGAGGGAAGATGGCAGATCCTCCCCTGCCTGGGATCCTGTCTGGAAGGACAGAGGAAGCATCAACTGGAATGGCAGTGGTCTGGAGTTTTGAGTCTTGCAGCTGCCGTTGCTTAATCAGCCGACTCAGCTACACTGCCTTTGAGGGAGTCCCTTGAGAGGCCAGGCACACAGTTTCCAGGTCTGGGGCCACTCTTCACAGACAGAGCCTTAAAGCAATGATTCCCAAAGTTTGTGGCTTGCTAGAATCACCTGGAGAGCTTTTTAAATAAAATCCTCATGCTCAGATTCACCTATATCATTAAATGAGAATGCCCGAGGGCCAGAGCCAGTCAGTAATTTGGGAATCTCTGCTTCGAGTGTGCAAGGCAGAGCTTCATGCCTCAGCGTGGAACCACTGCACACTTCCAAGAGACAGATGGTGTGAACCTATGGATTAAATAGAGAGGAAAAAAGATGCATGGTTTTCTGTTTTGTAGTCATGTTTTGGTAGTGCCAGCCCTACTGGGCCTGACAGTTTATCTCCAAAGAATAGTGACCTGACATCTCTCTGCAGGGACACAACACAAAAGCCCCTGTAACTTGTACAACAAATGCTCCAGGTAACTGGAGACCCCCAGGAATGGAAGTCACCATGAGGCTCCACTGCATTTGACCCTTCCTCCCGATTTCCTGCACGGAGGGTCAGCCTCAGAGCTGGTCACGCAGCCACTCTTGAGGTTACAAACTACAAAGCAGACATTTGCAGCCAGCACATAAGTGTCAGTTCAGGAAGAGATGGACACAGAATTGGGGAGACACGTACCGCAGCCACTCCTGTGTTTGTTGCTATCTCTGAACCTTGTTCCTCCCCTCCTCTCTGAAGGGACCCTACTTCAGGGACTTCCCCAGCACCCAGAGTCCCGAATTTTCAACAGCTTTCCTGTGGTCCCACAGATGGGGACGTCCTGCTGCCTGTCCCTCTCCTGCTGGGACCACCGTGCCCCCACTGAATCCTCTGTGGGGTAGGAAAGCCTCCTGCAGCCCCCAGCGGCCTGTGGTCAGTGATGCTGCTCCCTGGCGGCCTTGAGCACCTGAGGCCCTGACCGTCCTTGCCCCTGGAATTCTCCTGTCCCCTGCTCTTCTGCCATGGTGCTGCTCTCTGGGCCTCCCTTGTCAGGCTCTGCCGTGGTCCTGTTACGGTTTCAGTTTTCCCTCCTGCTCTCAGTTGTGGGCCACGCTTCAGTCCTTTTCCTGTCTCAGGTCCATGTCTCCAGCCCTGACCTCTCTCTAGACCTTCTTTCTCCCACTCGTGGTGTCCGTGTTCCTCAGCCACTCCCGATGGGCCTCTGGTTCCTATACTCCTGTCTCCCTGATGGCTTCTCTGAATCCCTTATCAATAGCTTCTCTACTGCACTCCCTCCTCAGGCCTGTGGCCGCCACCCTCGCGGAAGCAAACTCTGTTCCTCCACCCGGGACCCAACCACGCCACCCATCACCTGGGGATCTGCTCACCCAGCTGCCTTCCAGACCTGCCCTCACTCCTCCCTGCAAATCCAGAGCCTGGCCGGCCGCTGCTGACGCCCTGGGCCTCCCCTGTGCTGTCTCCTTCTCTTGGTCATCCACAGCTTTTCCTTCCTGTGTGTGATTTGTCTTTATGTAAGAACAAGAAGTAAGATTTTTCTGGGAGCTTCTGTTCCCAATGTCTTTTTCCTCATGCTGAGCTCTTGTGTGCCATGTTGTGGGCCATTGCTTCTCATGTGCTCACCTGTCCCTGCTGCATGGTCAGCCTGTGGGGGATGACAGCTGTCATCTCCGACTCCACAGTGTCACCTGTAGGGCCCTGCCCGTGTGGGGAGGGTTTTCATTACCTGCCCATTTGCAGGTGGATTTTATATCGTGGGTAGAGTTATAAGTTTATACAGCAAGATAATTGGCTAGGGACTAGTGAACTGTCACTTCTGTTGAACATGAAAACCTGAAAGGCAGTAGTTCATCTTCTGAAGAAATGGCCCAAGAAAGAGCTTTCGTAATTGGAAACTTAATATAAAATAATAGTTTGCATCAGGTGGCATAGCACCTTTTTTTTTTTTTTTTTTTTTTTTTTTGAGACAGGGTCTCATTCTGTGGCCCGTGCTAGAGTGCAGTGGCACAATCACGACTCACTGCCTCACAGGTTCAAGTAATCCTCCCAAGTAGCTGAGACTACAGGTGCACGCCACCATACCTGGCTAATTTTTGTATTTTTTGTAGAGATGGGGTCTTGCTGTGTTGCCCAGGCTGATATTGAACTCCTGGACTCAAGCAATCTGCCCGTCTCGGTCTCCCAAAGTGCTGAGATTATGGGTATGAACCACTGCTCCCAGCCTCCTAGCACCCTGATGAAGAGCTTGTTCTTTACTAAATCTTGCTGATCCCCCTCCCTTGATTTGTGGGAGGGGAGTGATTTGTCTGCTGCGTTGAGTTGTGCGCATTAAATGAATTCATAAAACACTGATGTGTTAGCACAATTCCTTTTCAATACATGGCATCTTAATTTTTGTTCACCCATTGTAAAGGATGCCTCACACAGTTGTAGTAATGGGAACAAGAGCATTTCTGACCCTTAGCCTGAAAATCTAAAAGTGAAACTGACTTATGAGAGCATTTCAGTAGCCCAGAAAACACAGCGAACACCTACCATGCAGGGATTATAGTGGACCCTAGGGTTCCAGGGATGAATAAGACACTGTCCCAAAAGAACCCATCAAGGTAAACGAGAAGTTGTAGACAAGTTAGCGAAAGTGAAGAAAAGGGAAAATCTTAGGGGGAGGAGAGGGGAACTTTGTTGTAACGGAAGGAGACTTTCTTCAAAGTGCTTTTCCAAGACAGGAGAAAAATCCCCTGGAGCTTAAGTGCCTCCAGGAGTGTAGACAGCAAGTTACCAGCCTGCGAGGGGTCTGTTCAGTGGTCAGAACACCGTGCTTGTGAGACGAGAGTGGGTTCTACCCAGGTTATTCCTCTCTGTTCCATGGCCACAAACCATGTCGGCCTTTGACCCTGATTCAGCCCCAGCTCTGGCTCCTTGGACAGCCATCGCCCAGCATCGTCTTGGTGCTCGGTCCCACTGATGGAGCAAGAGTGCCATCTTTTCATAGCTGGAGGCCTGAAGAATCCAAGAACTACAGATACTGGGAAGATACTAAGTGGACTCACAGAAAGTAAACATTACAGGCCAGGCACAGTGGTTCACGCCTGTAATCCCTTGGGGAGCACTTTGGGAGGCCGAGAAGTGAGACAGGATTACTGGAGCTCAAGAATTCAAAACCAACCTAGGTAACATAGATCTTTCTCCACAAAGAACATTGTATTTTAAGTTTTTAATATAAAAATTATTTTAAAAATAAACATCATATTTACACTGTCACCTCTGCACAATCAGCCAAATCCAGTTTTCATATTTAAAACGAATGAGACACCTCCTCTCAGTGGGAAAGATGAGCTGAAGCTTTACTCCCTCAATAGTGTTGGGAAAGGAAATTCGACAAAAATCTAAGGAAGGACCAAATATTGTACAGAGTGTGCCAATAGGCTCTTGCAACTGGACTGAAAATACCTGCCTTTTCTCTCCACAGGGGAAAGTGGAAGTGGAAGCTGGGAAAGAAGGTATGAAGTTTGAAGCGAGCGCCTTCTCATACTACGGCGTGATGGCCCTGACAGCCTCTCCAGGTACGTTTGGTTCTCAGCCGCATAGGGCAGGGCCACACGTTAGGAAGTAAGGCCCCTATCCTGTCATCTTTCTCTATCTGCCAGCTGACCCATTCATTTCCTTTTTGAACTTTTTTTTGAAGTATATCATATATGCAGAAAATCTGCACAGATCCTAAGTATACACCTCCATGAATTCTCACAAACTGAACACATGTGTAAAGCGGCACCCAGATCGAGAGAGAGGACTTTACCAGCCTTACAGAACTCCCATCGCACTCCCTTGTAGTCACTGGTCCCCCAGAGTAACTGCTGTCTTGACTTCTCAGTTAGCCTAATTTTGCCTGCTTTTGAAGTTTGCATAAATGGAGACACTGTGTGTGTTACACAGAGGCTGGCTCCTTTCTCTCAGTGTCATGCTTGTCACGTCACCTCTGTTGCTGTATGTGATCACACTCTTATTTCCTCTTGCTGTGTCTAGTATGCCACTATATGAATACACAGCAGTGCACGTGTCCTTTCATTGCTGATAGACATTGGGGTAGTCCTGTCTGGGGCTACTGTGAATATGTGGCTTTGAACATTCTTGTACATGTCTTTGGGTGAATGTGTTTGTCCATTTCTGCTGGGTGTGCACCTGGGACTGGCACTACGGGTCAGAGGGTGTGCCTCTGGATTCAGCTCTAATGTACCCGCTTACCCCCAACCTGTGCTGTGTGAATTCCGGTTGCTCTGTATCCAGCACTTGATATTGTTGAGTCTGTTAAATGTTAGCAATTTGGGAGGTCTTAATTTGCATGTTTCTGAGGATGAATGAGGTTGTTCCTATATACTGACTGCCTGTGGTGGCCGGCTCTTGTCTGGAGAACTGGCCAGTTGAGTCAGCCAGTTAAGGGTGAATGGCCATGGGATTGACGAAGTTCTCTGAGCACAAGATTCCAAGATGCCAGCCAGCCAGATGTTCCCTCAGACATGAACACAGATACCTCGTGGCTTGCTGGCCGCTGGGGATGGCACTGCTTGGCAGAGTGTACACACTATTAATACCTTAGGCAGCCCAAACAGGTCGGGCAGGTCGACAGAGGTGCTGGAGTGCCACCTTGTGGCAAAAACACCAAATGATGTGCAGTTTTAGGAAACCTCATTTACAAACCTCAAACCTAAAAATAACCCATTTTAAAAGAATTCCTGAAAGCCAGGCTTCAAAGGGAAGTTTTTGTGACGTTGGTCTTCATCGACTGCTCTACCCAATAGTCTGAGGAACCCAAAGATGTTTTGGTTAGAAAGTCACTGAGACATCAAGAATTCTATCGCATTTCTAAACTTCCTCTGTCCCAAACACCCCTTCTCACTATCCTGGTGCAGGTGTTTGAGTCCTGGGGGCACAGTGTTCCCACTCTCAACTGCTGACCAACACCCATACGCATTGTGAACATGGGCCTGTCTGACCCTACTTAATGAGTAGGTTTCTGTCGTAAACTTGAAGGTGACCTTCGTTTTCACTGCTTAGTGACAGAGATGGGGTGGCTCTTACCTAGGCATGGGAAGACCTGGGTTATAGCTTCAGCTACATCACAGGCAGGTCGTGTGATGTTGAGCGAGGCTCTTGGTCTCCGCCTTAAGAGGATATAATGATACCCGCTCATGTGATTATTAGAAGACTGGGATGCAGTGATCCTCACACAAGTGCCTTTTCCCCTTGAAAACAAGAGGGGAAATGTGGGTATAGCAGAAAGGTGCCATGACTGTGACGAGTTTTGGCAGCTGATCTCGAATTAGCCCCAGGTGAGCAGAACCAGATTTATAAGATGACTTCGAAAAGAAACTAGGAGTGGGTTGTACATTTCTACCAATTATTGGTTCCTGAAACATAAATATCAGCCCAGTTTCTAATGAACTCTAATGGAAGGACAAGTCTCATTCAGAAGAGGACGTGGTGAGCAGCCCTCTGAGTCTGGAACTGCTAAGAAGGAAGGGGAAATCACTTGAGGTCAGGAGTTCAAGACCAGCCTGGCCAATGTGGTGAAACCCCATCTCTACTAAAAATACAGAAATTAGCCAGGTGTGGTGGCACATGCCTGTAATCCCAGCTACTTGGGAGGCTGAGGCAGGAGAATCGCTTGAGCCTGGGAGGTGGAGGTTGCAGTGTGCCCAGAGCATGCCACTTTACTCCAGCCCCGGTGACAGAGTGAGACTCCATCTCAAAATAAAAAAGCGGGGGAAATTTCATTAATGGCATCTTATCTATTCCAAAGCCTAGTATTTTACTTAACTTTATGCTAAGATTTGGGATTTTGTATATTCATTGAGAAGCACAGTTAGTAGACATCTCAAGGTAAAGTTTCTGTTTATTGATGTTCGCCGTCTGGGGAAAGCCTGCAATAATCAGTTCTTAAGAACTGCCTGCCCCAGAGGCGTGATTCCTGCTCAACATTTCATGTTCTGAGACTTTTCAGTCTGATGGGGTGGTGAGAAGCGGTGATGAGGCTGACTCTGGTCTGCCTTCCCAGGAAATCTGTGTATGCGTTCTTTACTTACTTTCCTCTATTTTGAAATTTGAAAGCATTCCTAACAATTCAGAGCTTCAGGTCAAAATTAAAATGAGCTAAAGTTGCACATATGAGAAGCTGTAGGCTGTGCAGTGAGTGACTATTGGGGTGTAGGCACCAGCAGTTTGGGTCAGGTTCTTAGGGCAGTTGACTAATTGAGCTCCCCTTTTGCGCAGCTACTAGTGATTTAAGCCCTTAAGAGTCGCACCTTTTGAGCTATCAACCCCAATTAGTTATTATTGGCTTAAGAGATTTCATGGTTAGTAACAAGCCCATGGGTAGGATTTCTCCTGGTCTTGGCCTCCCTGTCTTCCTCTTCCTGGAAAGCAGTGTGTGCTGTTTTGTTTCTATACCATACCGACTTGCATTTCTGCAACTGAATGCGCATACTGTATTGGTAGAACAAGTATCCCTCCTGTCCCTTGATTACAGAGATCTCTTTTCTTGCCTTTTGATGTGATCTCACCCTGTTTTTCTCCATTTTTCAGTTCCTTTGTCCCTGTCTCGTACCTTTGTTGTCAGCAGAACAGAGTTGTTAGCAGCAGGTTCTCCAGGTAATTCTGCATGCTTCCTTTCCGTAATTCTCCCGATTGCCTCCCCCGCCCCCCATCACGCCTGGCTGGCTGGGTCTGCTCCCTTTACCTGGACAGGCTGTTTTCGTGTTCCTTGGAGCGCTAAAGCTCTAAGGTTCTGTAACTTTATAGCGAGCTCTCCAGGAAAGCATAAGCCACAGCAGGTAGAGAGTCCAGAACACCGCAAAGTCGCCATGCACACGGTAGCCACGAAGCATGGAAAGGGAGGGCTGCTCTGGCGTGGATTGTTAGTGCTCCCTGCCCGCGCGGCTGACCTTGAATTTTCAGGTCAGCAGTAGGGGACTGTTCTTGGTTCTTATTCTGACCTCAGCAAGTCATGGTGTGTGGAGTTTGCAGAGGCCCTGAGGGCCTCAAACCCTGAGGCCGCTTTTATAGAGCCCATTTGCCAAAGGCCTGAGACCTGTAAACTCTTCTTGGTAAGCAAGAAAAATACCCCGTCCACACAGGTGCACGACATTCCTGTCTCCTGGGTTCTTCCCACATCTGTGTGAGCGGAGCGCGAGCGCCTCTGCTGTCCGCCAGGCACGCGGCCCTGCTCCCCACCACCTGACTTTGTTTTGGAGTGAACACCCAGCACATTCCTATCCCGCTGCTGCCGACTGCCCTGCAGGAGAGGGTGGCCAGGCCTAGCTAATACGTCCAGCCATTAAAAAGAAGGGAAAAGGCTTAATCTGTCTTTAATTAAAATTGCTGGGATTTCCTAGTTGGTAACACAAGTTTCCTATATTTATCTTCAGAGTTTTTTCCATAATTACTAGACTGTCATAAAACTTTGGAACATAAATTTGGCCACAAAACCTGACCTGAACTGGGGGTCAGTCACTACGGTTTTCGCTCTACTTGTTGTGAATCCTCGTCTGTCTCACCAAAAGTTAATGTGTTTGCAGACGAGGGCCACCCCAGAATTACTGGGTGGTGTATGTAACATGGGGTGTACAGACTGTATCACCTTCCAGAATTCAAACATCTTCGGCCCCCAAGGGCTTCAGATGAAGAATGTGGACCTTTATTATTACTATTTTAAGTAAGATGGCATTTGAGGCTCTGAGCAGTGGGCTGAAGCTCAGGGTTGCAGCACCCCTGCTCGCACTGGCGCCCGTCGAGCTGTGGAAGGGGACCCGGAAGGCAGGGCCTGCTCCTCCAGAGGGTGGCCATGGAGCCAGGCAGCAGGCTCTTGGCAAAGGAGAGGATCCACTCACACAAACAGAGGCCAGTGGGGTGAGAGGAAGCAGACTGAGTCTAGATGCTTTGGAAGATCAGAGAAATCGCCCTAAAATCCTCCTCAGGAGAGAACAGGAGACTCAAAAGTACTGCAGGAGACCTCAGACAAGCAAAGTACCTTGAAATGTTTTGTTTTTATAGCCTTCAAATGTTAACACAAACTGTTTCAAAGGCGTCTGTAGAAATGGTGATGAGATAAGTGGCCAAAGCACAGGGATACAGTAGGATCTCGTTTCAAAAAAACGGACTAATCTGTCACCCTGCGTGAAGTCACTGCATGTGCAAAGGCTTGGTCATGGGGTGGGCGCATGGTGGCAAGGTCCGAGAGGAAGCTGACAAGAAAGAATAGAAAATGCCAACTAGGCTCACTTACGGGGTACCTACTCTACTGATGTCAGACTAGCACTTTGTACATTATCTTATTTTTAACCCTTGTCAGACCTTATAAGATGGGTACCAGGGCTGGGCACGGCACTCACGCCTATAATCCCAGCACTTTGGGAGGCTGAGGCGGGTGGATCACCTGAGGTCAGGAGTTCAAGACCAGCTTAGTCAACACAGTGAAACCCTGTCTCTACTAAAAATACAAAAATTAACTGGGCGTGGTGGTACACGCCTATAATCCCAGCTACTCAGGAGGCTGAGGCAAGAGAATCACTTGAACCTGGGAGGCAGAGGTTACAGTGAGCCAAGATTGCACCACTGCACTCCAGCCTGGGTGACAAGAGCGAGACTCTCTCAAAAAAAAAAAAAAAGGTCCACGTTTTACAGATAAAGAATCTGAAACTTAGCAAAATTGGGTCACCTATTCAAAGATCCATTCTGCTAAATATAAAAGTCTGATAAATTGTTAATTTGCCTTGTTCTCATAGAAATGGAAACAAGGGGAACTGCCACTCTGAATTTAATTTGTCTAACAATGGAAAATTAGTTCATAAATTGACAATTGGAGGGAGAGTTAAGATACAAAAATTTTAGGAGAAAGTGACTGGGTGCAGTGGCTCACGCCTATAATCCCAGCACTTTGGGAGGCTGAGGCAGCCAGATCACTTGAGCTCAGGAGTTCAAGATGAGGCTGGGCAACATGGCAAAACTCCATCTCTACCAAAAATGTAAAAATTAGCTGGGCATGGTGGCACACACCTATAGTCCCAGCTACTCAGGAGGCTGAGGCAGGAGAATCCCCTGAGCCCAGGAGGTTGAGGCTACAGTGAGCCAAGATCACACTACTGCATTCCAGCCTGGGTGACAAAGCAAGACCCTGTCTCAAAAAAAAAAAAAAAAAATTAGGAGAAAGCGAACTCATCACCGGAGATTCTTGGAGTACTTATGTTTTGTTCTGAGTGTCCTGTTTTAAGACAGCGATGGGGTGAGATGAACAGCTGCAGGATTTATCCTGCAGAAGAGACTTAAGTAGACCATCACTCTCTCCACCTATCTAAGGGCTATTTTGAATAGCAGAGGAAGAAAAGGCACTAAAGCTCCACACAGAGGAAGCGAGGCTATCATTTGAAGTTAGGGAGGCACGTTTTGGTGGGCGCGATGACAAACTTTCCCGATAGCCAGAGGGCAGGTGCAGCCAAGGACCAGCTCCTCCGAAGGACACATTGCAAAGAGGAGCCAAGCGTCAGATGGGAGAATTGGTCCCCTCCAGTCCTGTGATAGGATGCAATTCAAGACCTGGCCAGGGTGGGCACGCATTTCCTATCTGCAATAGTTGGTTAGAAAAGTAAAAAGTGAAAGAAGCCTTGGTGAAGGGGCATTTTTTAATGACATTTCTATTAGAAGCCACAGTGAACTTCCCTTTAAGAGCAACAACACCCAGACTGGAGCGCCTTCCACTGTGTTTTAAGGGAGGGATGCTACAAAACCTCACTGAAGACTATAGCGCCCAAGATAACTTATGCAAACACTCGTTAGGGGTTTGGGTTTGGTGTCTTCTAGTGTTCTTAAATTCCTGAGACATCCTCGGGCTACCTGATGGGGGATTTTAATGGGGTCAGAGATGAAGATAATAGGTTCGGCTAGAGGGTATGGTATGAGCAGACAAGTATTTTGATCCCTTTATAATACCTACTGATTTAATATTCTCAAGAGTCCCTTGTTTTTACTTCCGGCAAAATAATGAAGTGCTGTCCTCTTGTGGCCTGCGTTTGATACCAAGCAGCTTCTGCATGTTGGGCCTTGGCCTGTCCTCACCTGAGCATCTCACAGCACCCAGGAACGTTCCTCACGAAGGCACAGTGCAGGGTCTTTGCTGTTAGAGACGTGGGAGGATTGTGTCTGTCACATACACAGGGCCAAGCAGCTGAGATGGGCATATTCTGCTGGTACAGGGAAGCCCACGAGTCTGCCATATGTAGGAGACCCTCTGGCGTACTGTGCGGCCGAGATATCTGGAATCAGTTGGCTGGGCTTGTGTGGCGTTTAGTATTTTTTATTTTGGAAAATAAAGAGCTGGTTTTATTGGCTGTATCTACTTCACTTAAACAGTTGGATTTTTCCCTCCTTTTCCAGGTGAAAATAAGTCCCCTCCTCGCCCATGTGGCTTGAATCACTCAGACTCCCTCAGTCGAAGCGACCGGATTGACGCCGTCACACCAACACTGGGGAGCAGCAATAACCAGCTCAATTCTTCGCTCCTCCAAGTCTATATCCCCGATTACTCGGTGCGAGCCCTTTCGGATCTACAGTTTGTTAAGGTGAGAGACGTGAGTGCAGCATGGCTGGACCTGGCAGTTACGTGTCAACTTCCCTGGCAAATTGTCTGTTTTGCCCCTTGCCCTCCTCGGAGCTCTCCCTTTGTCACTCTGTGGTGCCCTGCCTTCCATTCTCAACTACAAACCCTGTCTTCATCTGTTGTGCCCAAGCCTCAGGTTGAGAAAGACGTTGATCTTCTTGGTTCTATCCAATGAGCTGCCAAATGAAATGTAGCTCTTTCGGGGAATGGGAGCCAGAGATCCTGGAAAATAGAGTAGCCCCTTTTCAAAGAGCTCCTGGGTGCGTGGCTCCCTGCCTGGCCCTGGGAAGGCTGAGGTCAGGAGACTCGGGAGGGTCTCGGCAAAGGCTCCAGCTCTGTCTTCTGCCCGGCAGTCAGGGTACTTACCTTGGTCTGAAATAAAGATGACTTTTGGAGAACAAACCAGCTTTAGCTGGGGGAAACCAGTTTCTGTTTTCTAGTCCCTAAAAGTTTGAGACTATATTTGGAAGTGGGTTACATCAGTAAGAACTGACTTGTTCACCAAAGTCAACTTGACCTTTGAAAAGTGGCTCACTGCACCCAAGTGTGATTTTTCTCCTAGAGAGGCTGCTGTGGGCCTGTCAGGGGATTGAACATGTGGAGATAAGAAAACCTAAAAATAAGCATTATCTTGGTTTGTTTTCTGTGCCATCTTCTGGCCCCAGATCTCAAGACAGCAATACCAAAATGCCTTGATGGCATCCCGGATGGACAAAACCCCTCAGTCTTCAGACAGTGAAAACACTAAAATCGAATTGACTCTTACGGAGCTGCATGACGGGTTGCCAGACGAGACAGCCAACCTGCTCAACGAACAGAACTGTGTGACGCACAGTAAGGCCAACCACAGCCTGCACAATGAAGGCGCCATCTAGGCCGCACTGGCTGCACCCGCCCAGGCCTGCACCCACCCACTCCCGAGGGCCCGGCCCCGTCTGCCCATGACTTCACTGGTGTGAGCTTGTCTGCCATGCTGCACCCTGCAACATCCTGAGACCAAAGACCTTGTGCCCTTCCCAGGAGCCGCGGAGGACGACGGTGAGGGAGGAATGGAAACTAGAAATATGAAGTTGGCGGCCGGGGCATGGCGTTCAAGATTTTGGAGATGAACTGATTCCGCCCAAATAGAATCATGTTTATTTTTTCAGCTCTCCCTTTCATCGTTATTCACGCTCTCTGCCCTCGATTTGCATGAAGTTGAAAATTGTTGCGATTTATTTTTTCAAGAGATCATGTTTTTAAAGTGTCTTTTGCAGAGTTTTAAGTTGTTCTGTCTGAACTCTGCTGTGATCCCATGATGTGACCCTAATAGGCTGGACTTGCCCCTCCGGTAGCCTTCCTTGGCCCTCCCAGGGAGGAGCACCCTTCCTCTGTGCCCCAGTGGGCATCACTGTCGAACTCGCTGGCTGAATGAAGAAGACCGTGTTACTGCAGAACCTGCCAAGTGTGTCATCACTGTGGGGTGTAGCCTGCCTCAGAGGGACCTGCAGTCGCCTCTCTGAGCTCAGTGGTATTTTGAGAAGTTAATGTTTAACTGTACCCCTTTCCCTCAGGAAGATTTAACATTTGCTTGGGAATGTGATTTTGCTCCCACCCTAAGGAATTTTTATCACCAAAATGAATATTAATGAATTTAAAACCCATGGTTTATCATTGGCAAGAGGCAAGTTGACTTCATCCTGTCATTCCAGCCTGGGGTCTCCCAGCCAGCCCTCCTCCCTGACCCAGTGCCCAAGCTCACAGAGTGTCGCCGCCCACCTCCCTGGGCCTTGCTCTTGTTAACCCAAGATGCTGCTACACAGATGCCAAATGGAAATCTTCCACGGGGCTGTTCAGTAAACACATGATGTGGAGTGCAAGCTCCTCCCCTTCCCGCTAGGACATACGTTAACAGAAAAGGAGTCGGACCTTCTAGCTGCACTCTACTGTGTGCCGGGAAGGCATTTCTAGACCCATGTTTTTAAAGGAGGGAACTTTGGGGATTGCCAGCCCCTGCTCCTCCTCCCAGGGAGCCAACTGTCCCTCCTCCCCTGTCCCTGGGCCCATGGGGCCCAGGAGAGTGGCTGTGTCCCCTGCCTGAGGGCCTCTGCCTCCTCCCTCAGATGCGGCCCATGCCAGAGAGGCTGCCTGTACAGCCAGGGTCAGTGTGGCCCCAAACAGGGATTCAGAAACCAAATGCGTGTTGTGGCCATTTTATGTGTGTCTCCGTCTTATTTTAATACCAAATTCATCATGTAGTGAAATTATGTCAGGAGGTATTTGAGTGACTGAATTCTTAACTATAGCTTATCTGTGTTTTGTTAGCCCGAGGGATATGTGCAGGTTGTTGGCGCTATTCATACACTGAAATGAAATCATACTGACCAGTGTACACACGAGATGATCAGTCCTCGCCGCATCCATCACTAGGAAAGGAGAGAGCGTTTTCTGTTTAGGCTCACTGCGCGGAGGGAGGCCTTGGCTAAGCAGCAGTATTCTGCTCCCTACTCCAGGTAGGAAGTCTGTTCAGCCACGGCTGGGCTGTGTGCAGGGCAGGGAGCGTGGCTGAGGAGCAGACAGCAGCGGGCAGCCTGGTGAGTCGTTTGGTGCCTCACGTGTCGCGCATGCCCGGCTCAGTATTTCCTCTGGGATGTCAGTCCTGGAGTGTCTTCCTCAGAAGGTGCCATGCCCCTTAGTAGGGGGAAGTACTGATCTCACTTGGTGTAGAGGGTGCTGAGTGGCCTGCTACTGGCATGCAACCTGCCCCCGTGGGATGAAGCCCCACTGTGTAGCTTGACCTTAGAGGGGAGCCCACTCTAAGCATCCTTTTTTTAAACAGAGCCATCCAAATATAAAAGTCAGTTTCTTAAGATGCCTGTCCCTGAGCACAGCACCAGTGTGATGAGTGTCTAAAGATGAGGAGTCCCTGCAACAGAGCAAAGCCTGGCCCATCCTGGGGGAGGGTGTCTGTCCCCCGCTTCGGGCCTGTGCAGTGCTGGCCTTCCCTGAGCGGTGGGGAGTCAGGCCCGCCTAGCCCGGCTTCTCTGGCCTCAGGAGCTCCGCCCTGTCAACCTGCCCGGGCTCACATCTGCTTCTCCACACAGTCTGTCTCAGGGATGCCTTGCTACTGGGAGAGCCTCTGGAATCAGAGCTAGTGTGTTGGTGCCCTTTTCAGAGCTCTGCTGTTCCTTTATAAATCCTAAAGCACAGTCTGGGAAGAGGAGAGGGGATGCCAGCTGCTGCCTCTGACTTGAGGGAGAAGCAGACTTCTTCATACTGTCTTACCTGCTCGGCGTGACGGCTTCTTGCAAATTATTCTCTTATAAAAGAGCTTGGCAGGAGCGGCTCATCAGTGGGGCTCCCAAAGTTTGAAATTTTAACTGCCAAGTTCGTATTCGTTTTCTGTTATTCTTTACCTTCTATTAGTCACACTATTTGATAACATTAAGGAATCTAAAATCCTGTCAGGTCCCTGAAGGAACGAAGGTTAACATCTCTAGGGAGAGCATAGGACCCTTCAAACAACACTCATGTCTGAGCAACCAGATTCCTCTTCCAGGCCCCACTTTCCCTCAGGAAACCAACCTTTCGGAGGGTTGGAGGAGAAACGCTGGGCTCTTGCTTGTCTGGGGCAGCAGGAGAATGACTTTGGCTTGGAAGGCCTCTGCCATTCATCTCTACAAAGCCAGTGGGGTCCAGCAGAGAAAGACCGGGGAATAGCTGCAGTCTCGATGTGGCTGCTTTTTGGCACCTCTGCTGGACTGCCCTCCCATGGCTGCGACCTTTCCAAGTGTGGAAAGGAGTGGGTCAGTGGGCCAGATGCAGACCCCTGAGTTCTGGATACTGACAGGAGGCCTCACCCTCCTTTACGGGGTCTCTCAGGGTGGGACGGGGCCTCCCCTGCTCCTGAGCAGCCACTGGTGCCCCGTGGTTCCGCTGGAACTAAATCCCTAGCATCCAGATAGTCCTGGGACGCTCTGCCTTCTCTGTAAAGGAGGAGGGCTTTTCTCCTGCTGTCTTGGAGGTTCCTTCCCTTCACTGCTTATCCCATATGCATCAGGCAAATTCGAACTCATACATTTAAACTCTTAGGAAAACAAAATCTTAAGACTTACACAGATATTGGGGTGCTAATCAACTAGCTTAAATCTTGGTTCTTACATATTTTGAACTTGAAAGGGTACATTGAACTCTGTTCTTTCTTCCCTCCTCACCTCGCTCCCTGCAGGGAGTTAAATGCCATGTTGAAGCGGTTGGCATCCCCAAGTGGGAGGGAGTGGGGCAGCTTACCATCTTCTAATGTGACTTCAAGGAACAATGCAGATGTTGAATGCAGAGCTCCACACTAATATGGAACAGTAACTGTGAGTATATTTACCTGTGCTGTCCTCAGCACTGTACACTAAAGGACCAGCTTTTCCAAGCCTAGGAAAATAATGGTAGATACAAATAGAAATACATTTTCCCTAGGAAATGGAGCAATAGGAATTTGAGCTAAGCAGGAACCATGAACTTCTGCCCTCAAATTCTGTCTTCGGGTTGAGCAGACCTGTGTAGGCCCTGGCTGATCAAGCCTGTGTCCTGCCTAGTGAAAACACAACCCCTCTGTCATCTGAAAGCCAGCCGGGGATCTGTAGCCATCCTCGCCTTCCCTAGGCCCAGGAAGGTGAGGGCTCCTGGGCAACCAGGCTTGTCCCTGTTGTTCCCCAGGGGTGATCTAGGCCGATGACTCACCTGGCTGGCACATGAAGGTGCTCACCTTGTTCTCTGGGGCTCCAAGCAAGAGCAGGCCAGGGAGGGCTGGCTTTCCACACTGTATTACATGACCCGAGCTCCCTGGTGGCATGGGAAAAACTCCCCTCTGCTTTTGAGCCCAGAATGGGCTTTTCTTTGCAAAGAGTAGAGGAGAAATACAAGATCGAGCTGGCAGGTTAGGGTCTGGGAGGCCTCTGAGGTACCATTGCTTACTTCCTTACTGAGGAAACTGGCTCTTGTCCTGGGCCATGTAGTTCCATTCTGGGCTCTAGACTAGTGGTGCTTCTGTCCATCAAGGGTATCTGGGTGAGTTGTAGGTTAACCCAGAATTAGTAGGGATATAGGGGTTTGAATAGGAAAGTGATTTGGGGATTCAGAAATTTTTCTGATGTAATTTATCAATGAGCAACTTCTCAGTTGATTTTTATACCTCAGGGTCATTTGCAAATCTTTTATCTTTTCCTATTTCTTAGGTGTTCAAGTTGGTTAACAGGAGAGAGATGTTCAGAGACTTCTAAGTTGAGGTTCATTTGCCTCCATTTGAGGGGTGAGTGGTGCACCAATAGCTTGCTGCTATTACTCAGCAAGGCTGTGACAAGCCGGCCTTCCTCCTCTAGCACTTGCAAGCTTTCTGTCTGCAATCACGGTTTATTTGCCCGTTTCCCTTTTGCTACCTTCTTTCCTATCTGGAGATTCATATTCCAGAGTCCCTGGTCGACCCTACGGACGCAAAGAGGAGATGGCAGTTCACAGCAACTGCATAGAGCAGGGAGCAGCTTTCCTCCCACCATCCTAGGCAGGGGACCTTCTTTGCTTCTCAGACCTGAGCTCAAGTAAGCATGTTCTGTCTGTATGCTAGAGCCACTGACATCATCTCTACTAGAATTGTTTTAAGTATCTTTTGATGGGAAATACCAGGTTGAACTTCAAGCAGCAGGGAAACAAAGGTTCTAGCTGCAAGAGAATAAAGTTCTAGGTGTTTGTATGCCGAGGTTTTTATGTACACAGATCCAATACATACTGTAAGAAAGTCTTGAGTACACAAGGTTTTCAGGTTTTAATGCCCATTGGGACCATGAACAAATGAGAATGACTGGGAGCATTGTCTTGCGTCGCTTGGAAGGATGCCTTCTGGCATGTACCCACATCTGATCCACATGGATTCACTTTTAGGATGCAATTCTTTGGGGGGCCAGATTCCGCTGCAGATTCATCCTGAAGAGAACTATCCAATGGGCCTGGTGGGGCTTGGGTGCCTGCCCTTTTTGTTGGAGGCTCAGGCTTCAGAGCAGAGCAAAGTTGGGAAGAATAAGGTCTTAGGATTCTCATTCCCCAGAGAGCCCCAGCCTTGCTTCTGATTCATTACTCCCCAAGTCTAAAGTCTACTGTGAAGGTGAAGTTATCAGTTTTTTCTTGTTTCTTGAGTTCTTTAAACCCACAAATGTATATGCTTTATTTTATATTATTTATTATGTACATATGCCTGTTAGTACTTCATCTGTGACTAGGACAAGATCTGTCTTGAAGCTTCCTCATCCATGGATCCTAGGGTTCTGCTGTCCTTTAAGGCGGGTGAGAGGGTAGTGTTGTTTTTTATAAACAGGTTGCTGCCTTTATGTTGGCCCTAGCATCCCCAGCCCCTTTAGTTGGGCCCACCTGTATTCCTGATGACAAGTGTTTTGGATGAGGATGGAGGCAGGTCTCCGACCTTATGGGCAGGGCCTCTCAAGTACCTCCATGAACTATTTCCGAGGTGGTTTATTGGTGACAGGCTCTCTTCCCCTATGTAGGGTACAGTACAGCTGTGAGTCCACGGTCTCTTTCCTCCCAAGGCAGGTCACTTGCCTGGCCCCACAATGATAATGGTTTCTTCTACTTACCTTGAATTGCATAATCCATCTTTCTGGATAATGGAAGCTGCCTGCCCATCTGGGCTCTTAATATGCCTTTTCTTGGTTTTGAGGCCCAGTGCCAACATTGACTTGGCCCTCAAGTAAGACCCTGCTTTGTGTCTGACTTCCATCCTCCTCAGCCTTTATTCACTGTATCATAGTGTACAGGTCATGCATTTGAGCAGTGAAGTTTTCTGAACTAGCAGTGAAGTTTTCTGAAGTATTCAGAGCTGTGTACATAAACCCAAATAAGCACAAATGACATGTATAGGATTAATGAGCTGATTGTCATAATGAATGCATTTTATAATTCATATGATGTTGTAGATGTACAGTCTCTCCTATTTATTTTGTACCAATTTATTTGTAAATTTTGTGATTGTTTTACAAGGTTTTTGTTTATTTCTATTCTATTTAGATAAATGATGTTCTGTTCACCCTTCTAGCAGATGTGTGTTCCCTCTTCCCTTTCATCTATGCAACACCAACCATGCCATTGTGTTCAGCTTGGCTGAACCCACTGCCCTGCCCACTTCCCTGGCTTTGCTGGTGGGAAAGCTGGGACTGCATCTCAGCATGACAACGTAGAAGAGCATCTTCTTTGGAAGTGGGTACTAGTTCTGTGCCTCCAAGTCATAGCCTGGTACAGCTAATCCTAGGGGGAAGGTGTCCTCCTTTGCAAGGATTATATTCTGTCCTCCATCAGTTACTCTCTACATAAGAACATTCGGAGTATCCAGTCAAATTGCCCCAGACATTGGCTGCTCAGTCACTAATAACAACACACAGTGTAGCTGGGCTAAGCCGGTGTTTCCTAGGTAAGACCAAAGGCCTCATTCAGGCCTCTCATTTGGCTCTTAAAGACAAGGATGGCTTTATAGGTCCCTCCTCTGCTATGCTAAGCCTGGGAGGAAGGTCAGAGCAGGCATGGATAGTCACTCTCGAGTGGAAAACATCCAACCTGAGTGTGGCGAGGCGTGTGCAGGTGGGTCTTCAGGATTCAGTGGACATCCTACATTCCCCAGTAATCGGTGTGTATGATACACATTCTTTTCCATCACCACTTTGTCTTCTGTTTCTTCTTACCATCCTCACTCACATGTGACCAGTCCCTGAAGAACATATGGTGGAGCTTCAGGGACCCTCTGTGATCCATTCCTAAACCACATCTTTTTGGAATCCCTTTTTTTCTCTCCACTCTTAGTCTCTATTTTACATTCCAAAGAGGATCGTGCTCTGATAATTTAGCCTCTTGACTGGTCCATTTATAGTCCCCACTGAATTTATTTAACTGTGGCATTTGTAGTCTTTTACTTACACTTGTCCTGTGGATGGAGACATTTCAGGGAAGAACTGCTGACAAGAGTTGGCTCTGAGATGCTGCCTGACCTAACTTACCACTCCCATCTCCCCAGGCATCACCCAACTACCTGAATATAGCCCAGTGAAATGCCAGCTTCGGACCCTGCTTGCTTTCCTTAGAAGCAGGGCAGAAAGGGGCAGCAGAGCTAGGGAAAGAAGTCACGGTAGCACATTCACTCCCAGCCTGCTGCCTTGGTTGGTTTTTCCTGTTTTACTCACTTGGTCTAGATGAGCCCTTAGCTCAAAACAGGAAATGCTCCAAGGAAAATGGAGGCAATTTTTCCTGCTGTCAAGATGAGATTTGCCTAAAATTCCCCCCTTGCATCCTCACAGTGCGCACATATCCGCTCATTTCTAAACTTTATTGTGATGTACCCCAGGGTTTCTACTGCACAAAAATTGTGCTCCCTAGAGCCGTTTCTCAACTCAGCAATTCACGAGGAAACAAATATTGATCAGAGTCTTGTAGAGAAAGTGGTAAAAACTGACCTTTTTATAGCCTGGAGTTGATTTCTAGGAACTTATTTTATACTTTTTGAAGGTAATTTAATAAAGAGATGATTCTTTATTAAAGCCAAAAAGTTGAATTCTGTTAGATGGCTAATAAACTCTCTTGCTTTCTTTGTATGGTGGTTTTGTCATTTTCCCTCCAAGGGCCTCATATCTGTGCTATTTTCAAGCAGTCCCAGAACAAAGGGATGATTTTAGGGCCCTTTTCTCTGACTTTCTGCTGGCATGCCATCTCCCCTAGTGGATGACTGAGGACTGAGGATGCCTGTTTCTAAGGGAGAATTAGTTGCCCGACTTCTCTGAAGTGCTTTTCCTGTCAGGGTAATAGTAACTGTGCAGTGTTCAAACAGGAGGCCAACACGTGACAGGAATTTTTAGATTGGGCCAGCTTTCCTACTGCAATTCTCCGAAGTCATTGACTTGAGGTCAGGGGGTTGTTCAAAATACCCACACCCTCAGGTCAAAGATGACCTCTGGTGAGAACACCCTCTCAAAGACTGGACACTGAAGAAACATTTTTCAGTGTGGGGAAGGTTTGCTTGACAAATCCTCTTTCCAAGTATCTCAAGAACTTGTGAGACGTGGAAGGACTGTTGCTGCCTTTTGTGGGAAAATGTGTGCTCAGCTGCTTGGTCTCCAATTTGTGTGGGAGAGTTTATCTCAGGCCTTGTCTACTCCCCTGGCCAGACATGGCTTTGGGAAGAGCTCTGTGGGAGACCAGAACATCTGGGGACGTATTTGTACCTAGTTATTTTGTGTGAAGAAACAAGGGGACCAGATTCAAAACTCGTCATTGTGTTTTAAATTGGAAAACAGATTCCTCAGCCTTACAGTAAACAGTCAGCAAGTTTGAGAGGAAATGTGTGTTCAATGGGGAGTACTTTTTTTGTGTTAAAGCTCTACAGAGAAACTTCTGTATATATTTTATTTTTGAGATCACACACCTCTGTTGGAACCAATCAGACTGTTGTGGCCTTGGGATGAAGACACTGTGTCTGAGGACAGGGAAAAATGGTTGAGAAATCCAGGGTAAAGAACAGAAGAGCTTTTTACTCATTCTATAAATGAACGTGCTGCCTGTTTAAAGGACTCACTTTCTGCTGCTTCCAGATACCTAGCAGTGCGAGAACTGTGTGGTGTGCTGCATTCCTGTTATGGGAGGTGCGTGATGGGCAGTGTGGGTTTCTGGAAGTCACCTGTTTCTACTTTCTGGCTGCCTGTGCCTGTGGTCATCCCTGCTCCTTGGCGGTAGTGCATGTTTTTCTTTTATCTTCAGGGTTGCTCTGGTAGCTCCATGGTAGAGATTTCATTCTCAGGGCCTCCCAAAAGTTGTGTATCATTTGAAATTGTTCCATTTGAGGAAAAATTTTAAGAAAAGCTGAATTCCCTGATCACCACTAAAGATCGTCATGAGAAACATAAGTATCTGAGCCCTAAACTACTAAGCCCAGTGAGGAATTGCAGCGTTAACTGTATGGCAATAGCTAGATCATAGTTACCATTTTTCCCACCATCAAAGAGAGATTAAATAGTTTCCATAACATGGAATGTGGATAAGGTTCCTACCCTAATACAGACTTAAATATGCAGTTGTTTGTCTCAGGCTATTTGTGGTGAATAAGCAGAGTATTTATTTTAAAATGACCAGGCAGCCTTGGAAAAATCGTTGGGCTTTAAAGTTGTTGACAAAGTATTTCTTAAGTAAATACATCTGATTTAGAAATACCTAAACATGGACAAAATACTTTTAAGTCTGACATGCAACTGCATGTGGCTTTTTAAAGTGGTTTCTTAACAATGCTAACGTGACTTAAGGAGTTGTAGTTCTATTAAAAACCACTTCTAAAAGTATCTTAGAAAGGATAGCTTGAAGGGTTTGCCTTATTTTAGGTCTCAGCAGAGGTATGCTTATAGCAAGAGAAAAATCTTAGGTCTAAGTAGAACACTAAACTTTCTTGGCTGTGACCAACTTTTCTGAAGTTCACCATCAGAGTTTTCACTGACGACTATCTTTGCAGAGATGAATGAATGTACTGGGCAATTCCTCTCCCCAAGGAAACCCAGCAGGGCCTGGGTCTGCTGTACCACTGACCAACTGCTGGGGACACTAGGGTCCCTGTTAGTACATGCTGTAAGGTTGGAAGTTCAGTCTAGCACTCAAGAAGGGGTTGCCTGGTGTTCTACAATGCCTGTAAATAGTGTTTTCAAAATGCCTGGGAAAAAATTCTCAAAAGAGATGGCAGAATGGTCTTCTCATGGTGTAAAACGCCTCAGGATTTTTTTTTTTTTTTTTTTAAGGAAAAAACTATACCTTTTAAGTTCGGCTTCCTTAACTACTGGCAACAGAGAGAAACTCATAATTTGTTTTAAAAAGCCTAATTACAGCTGCCCTGCCTACCCATGGACCACTGACTTCCCAGCACACTCTTAAGAATAATATACAGAGAGGCACCATTTTGCTCTGGGTCTTATGGAATCCTAGAGCTCTTTAATCAATCATACGTTTTGGTGGTCCTACGGAGAGCTGTGACTAGCAGTGGAGTTCTTGCTTATTCTAGCTGTGTGCTTTTCACTTTCTGATCTTTGGACCCAGAGAATCATTTGCCATGGAATCATCTGGCTAGTAAGATACTCTTATATGGATGCAATACAAAAAGTGGTAAATTAAAGGAAAGCAGTCATGTGGTCCTTGCTCTAAAAGGGACAGTATGTAAATGTACTACTATAATAAGGTAGCTCTGTAGATGTAATAAGCTACTCATAAATTACTTGGGTTTAAGAAAACTTAAGACTATGTTAAACTGAGCAACATCTCCATCTTGAATGAGAATAATTAGTAACTAGGATGACCACACATTCTCCTAACATGGGCAACAGTCTAATTGTTATTGCATTTCTGACCTGATTCTTTTAAAGGGGCATATATTCCCAATGGATACCATTTAGAATGTATGTTTCTTGGATGACTTAATCTGAAGCCATATATATCCAAAGTAGTGAGACAGTATATCCTTGACTAAGTTACCAGGCTGTGTTCCCTGCTTATAAAATGATTTTTTTAAAAGCCTTACTTTACAGTCCTATTCCAAAAATCTTTCTGTGAAAAAATTGTGAGGCCTATGAAGCACCATGAATATAATCATGTTAGAATATAATAATTCTTGAATATATTTCCTTTAAAAGAAGAGAATATCAAACTGACATCACTACACCAAATCTAAACCCACTTGAAGACCAATAGCTATTACAGTTGTGCTACAGAATAGGTCAAAGTCACCATTAGAAATATTACACTTTATTGAATTCTGGAGCAGCTAATCTACCCTCCCCTATTGACCAATGACAAGAATGGAAGCAAATATATGATGGTTAAAGTAAGAGTCTATAACCACTGTTTAAAATGTTGAAACAACTTTCACTGTACTGGTGAAACAGTTTTAATACCCTAACATACACAGTAATAATTCATTCTTGTTTAAAACAAGAAGTGATTTCAACTTGGGATTGGGATTTTTATTTATTTTTTTGAGATGGAGTTTCGCTCTTGTTGCCCAGGCTGGAGTACAATGGTGTGATCTTGGCTCACCGCAACCTCCGCCTCCTGGGTTCGAGTGATTCTCCTGCCTCAGCCACCTGAGTAGCTGGGATTACAGGCACGCGCCACCATGCCCGGCTAATTTTGTATTTTTAGTAGCGATGGGGTTTCTCCATGTTGGTCAGGCTGGTCTCAAACTCCCAACCTCAGGTGATCTGCCCGCCTCGGCCTCCCGAAGTGCTGGGATTACAGGCGTGAGCCACCGCGCCCGGCCTCAACTTGGGATTCTGAAGTGAATTTATTCACGCTGATTGTGCCCTCTACTTTAGTAAGGTTCTGGCTTACAGAGCCCTCTTCCCATCCTCTGATGTTCAACTTTAATATACAGCAATCAACTCTAGAGGATAAAGAAATCTGGATTTGGGTAGCATGAGCCACAGTTAGTTATATAGCCCACACTAATGAATGTTCTGTAGTATAAAAAGGGAGTTCTTCTCTTTTCTGGGGGCTTGTTCCTTTGTCCGCTTGCAGCTAAATTCTTTCTATAGATTTAGCACAGATAAGAAAAAGGTTGTTTTTGGATAACAAATAATAAGCATTTGTGCTATTAAACAAAAAACAAAAAAGGTAATAAGGATACTGTCTTTTCCCTCAAAATAGAGGGAATAAAGCGAGTAGAGAATACTTCTGTGCAAAGCCAGTGACAGAGAAGCAGCCTTGCCAGAGTCACTGAGGATGACTTAAAGGCTTATAAAAGGAAACTTGAAACCTTAACAGAGACTACATTTGATCATAGAAGTAATACATTTCTCCACTGTTATACAATACCATGTAATGCACTGAAAAACTTGGATCTTGGAGTAATAGCACAATTTGTAACATTACAGATCACCTCTTCCCACTCTGTTCCACTCTGAGACTCTTCTCCTTTTCCTTGTGTATCCAGATACACTGACATATGGATGATTTTTTTAAAAGTGTCACAAGCCACAATGGAGCCATATACATGCAGTTCAGCCTGATTTTACCCTTATTTTCTTCTAATACAGACTCCATTACAATTTTGGACCATCTGCAAAGAGTACAGATACACAAAACCAAAACAAGTATCTATGACAAGAATAAAATCTTCAGAAACTTTTCAGACGTACCTTCATGGAGCCCCCTCCCTCCCCACCCAGTAGAACCCTAACAGGGACATCGTTTGTTCCTGCGAGTCCTGCCAGGACTTGTTTAATGGGTGCTCAGGGTTTTGGTTTTCCTCCTTATTCTTCCTCTTCCTCCTCCTCTTCATCATCATCTTCATCATGGCAGTGTGTAATTTCCTGGGGGGCCAGTGGGAAGAGGTTGGGAGGTTTAATCTCACTAATTGACCGTGTCAGCTGGTGCCGCTTGTAGTCAGTGTCTTTGAAATCCACTGATGTGCGGTTCCGGGTGGCAAGAGGAGACTCCATCTCATTGATATCTACGTGTGTGTGCTCCACCGTTGATTCATGAGGCATCTAGATAGAAAAAAGCTAGAGGCTCAGAGAGCAGGCAGAACAAAGTAGCTACTTCCCAAATCCTAACCCCTCTCCTCTGTTACGTGGCCATACAGTTACATCTATAATGGACCACAGGACAAGTCAATATAGACTTATCTTCATAGAACTACTTATAGTTGCCTGTCTTCCTCTCTCCCTGCCCCTCAAAATGGTGCCCATATTGTCTACTGCAGCCAGAAACTGGAAAAGATGGAGAGGAGAGTTCATCTTCTACTTTACAGCAAAAACAAAATAGTCCTAAACAGATCAGAATATAGGAACGTAAAAACCACGTTTTCTTTTTCTTGAGACAGGGTCTCTCGCTGTCACCAAGGCTGGAGTACAGTGGAGCAATCACAGCCCACTGCAGCTTCGACTTCCTGGGCTCTATCAGTCCTCCCACCTCAGCCTCCAAAGTGCTGGGGTTACAGGCATGAGCCGCCATGCCTGGCCCACATGTAGCTTTTAATAGAGTAGACTTGAGAGAGTAAAGTTATATTCCGTAACTTCCAATATTGGTTCTACTTTCTCAAAGACCCCTTCTTATGCAACCATATAACCTGCCCCTGGGCTCTGTACATCAGAAAGAAATGTTCAAACTATCTCCTGTGCCATCTCACAAAGCTGGCTGCTGACCCTGGACTTAGAGTACATCTTGGTTGTCAATTATAGCCTTAACTCACCAAGACATGGGCAGCCCTGAAGAGGTAGCTGAATGGGTAATACAGCAGGTTGATGAAAGATGCTGCATAGAGGTCAGCGTAACGCATCACTTGACTGGCAAAAAGGGTCTGCCGGGAGCCACTGCGAAACAGGCTTCCCATCATCCCATAGCACATGTCCATGTCATGAGTTACTTTCTAAAACAAAGAACAAGATTGATTCTTGGCTCATTCAACAAATATTTATTGAGCAGTAGTTGAATGCCAGTCTCTGTAAAAATCAGAAACATGAGAAAATCATTTAAACTTATTTCCCAAGTTTTCTCCCAAATCCCATTTGGATACCTTAATACGTCTCTGGATGGAACTAATGTCTGGACGCTCATTGCTACTGCTGTCAAGGTGCCTAAAGATAAAAGAAAACCTTGGTGAAAATCTCTGGGAAGAGCTTTTTTTTTTTTCTTTAAGACAATCTCACTCTGTCACTCAGGCTGGAGTGCAGGGGTGTGATTTTGGCTCACTGCAACCTCTGCCTCCCAGCTTCAAGTGATTCTCCTGCCTCAGTCACCCTAATAGTTAGCTGGAATTACAGGCATGTGCCACCACACTCAGCTAATTTTTGTATATCTGGTAGAGACAGGGTTTTGCCATGTTGGCCAGACTGGTCTCAAACTTCTGGCCTCAACTGACCTGCCTGCCTTGGCCTCCCAAAGTGCTGGGATTACAGGCGTGAGCCACCGCGCCTGGCCTGGAAAGAACATTTTTTTTGAGATGGAGTTTCACTCTTGTCGCCCAGGCTGGAGTGCAATGGTGCAATCTCGGCTCACTGCAACCTCCACCTCCCCGGTTCAAGCGATTCGCCTGCCTCAGCCTCCCAAATAGCTTGGATTATCGGCCTGGAAAGAACATTTTTTTTATACCTAAGTGATTCCTAAAGAAGTTTTTAGGAAATAAATTTTTAGAAAACTTACTTGTAGAGTTCAGCCAAGAAAATATCCAAGCTCTGAAGTTCTTCGAAAAGTGCTAGTTAAGGTTTGGAAGGAAAAGGAAGATATTTTAAATAAATAAGCTCCCAGTTCTTAACTGCTGCTAAAACTAAAAGGTTGCAGATGTGACTGAAAAGTATAACCTGGGACTAACATGCTCTAGGTGGAGTGTATAGTGACCTCCTCTTCCCCTCTTCAGGATAACCCACTGATACCCGCTTGGAGTCTGACAACAGACGAGCACCATCACCTTCTCTTTAACCGCCTTTCCTCCTGCTTAAAAACCATGACAACTTTCCCTTCCAGCTGCATGCTCATTCTGAGCTTGTAAAAGTACCAGAATTTACACCATCTCAGGTGTAGTCAGCTAAGCAAATGTTAACAGTCCCATTTTCAGATGAAAGACTGAGAATTAGGTGACTTGTCCTGAGTCACAGGTCCAGGGCCAAATCAACTAGATTTCCAAAACTTCATAGGCAGAAAGTTGTAAATGTGAATGAAAGGCTAGCCAGAAAATCCCACTCATAGTACAGACAATAATAACAGCAACAGCCAGATCTACAGCATGCTTCCTGTGCTGCAGCCTTTGTCAGCCTGGGTTCCTCGAGACAAGCCCTCTTTCATCTACTGTATATATAACACATTTTCTTCTATTTACCATCTTTAGGAGAATTGAGAAAAGTGTTACTCAAATAATTTTCTGTATTCAGCTGTTGGAAAGGTAAAATAACGATAATGGTAATAATTTTCTGTGTTTCAGATGAGGAGCCTTGGTTGAGAAAGGCTGTCATGTCTGTCTATGTTTATATACATATTGCCTCCGTTTTTCATCAACTTTAGGAGGTAGGTATTATCCCCATTTTTACATTTGAGGAAACTAACGCACAGGGTGTCTCATTAACTTGCCTAAGGGCATGCAGATTTCAAGTTATACAGCCAGGGCTCCTACCCCAGGCAGGCTGAGTTTCCGGAGTCACCTTCACCACGCTGCAGGTAATAAGCATAAAGGCTGGCTGGAGAACTTGTGTATCAAACACTTTTACAGAACTATATCCGTAACTTAATTCAGCATAGTGTATATACTGCATATACACAGTGTAGCTTAGTTCAAGAATACAATATGGCTTCATTCTCTAGATCTCAGAAAAGTCAATTAAAAATACCAGAGGTGATTAACATTCAGAGCCATCACTGCCCCAGAATCACAGATATGGGCTGTTGGCAGAGAGACTGAGACTGCTAGGCATGGTTGGGGAAATATGGGACCACAGAGGAAATCTGAGCTCCAGTTCACAACTTAGTGTTACCGTAACACAACTCAAGACACCAACATTCTATACTTAACCTCGAAGAGAGTCAAGAAGGTTAAACAAGATAACCTCTCATATTTATTCAAATTCTGGAGTTCTGTGAAATATCTGAATATTCTATGGGAAGGAAGTATCCAAATATCAAGGCCTACCTTTTGACCACCTCTGACTTCCTGAATACAAAGTAATGGTTTATCAAAGAGGACCTGATTTAAAGCTGGTCATTCAGATATAAATTGCATCAAAGATTTATGAAATGGCTTACAACTCTTGTCGGTCCAGACATGTAGCTCCTGTGCAAGTTCGGGAATCACCAAAAAAGTTCGCCACCCTTGCCGTTTCTTTGATTTTAAAATGTCCCCAAAAATGTGATCTCCAATATACAAAATGTCTTTTCCCTTGGCTCCCAGCAGATCACAGATCGTATCAGAAGAACCTGAAACAAGAGTGAACAATGAGAAAACTGTCTCTACATTAAAATCAGTCTTCCAATAGTATTCAGCCATTAAATACTATGATTCCTTTTATTCTTATAGTTGCATGAGGAACAGTCTAGGAAAAAAAAAGACAAAAGACTCACCATTCTCTTCTTACTGCCTTCTAAGACAAGGCCTTCACTCCACTGTGCTGACCAGAGCTCTTGATCACCAAATCCAAGAGCAACAAAACTACATCCTCAGCTTAACCTTGAAAAGAGCCACTGCCAATTTCATCACAAATCTGCCATTAAGCTGGCTTTATTCAACTGTTTCTAACTCCAATATACTATGTACCTATAACCATGAAACTCCTTGAGAAACCCTTGAGAACATATTGAGAAGTACCCCCAAGTGATTCCAAGCACTGAGAAAAGCCTCCAATAGGATTTTTAAAAAAAGAAAACTGATTGTTTTCGTGAAAATCAGATTCATTAGGATATACTAACAACTGCTCAAACCCAGACTCCTATTGCATTAAGAGGTGACTATTTACCTTCAGTAGATGACATCTTAGACCACTAAAGAGTACATGTGGCACTTTGCTAAGAGATCACCAAAGCTTTCACAGTGAGGTCTGAGCAAAGACATTAAATAAAGGGAAGTCTGTAACTTACCTCCTGAGTAGACGATACCATGCTGTAGGGGGCCTGTGTAGGTACCAATTTTCAGCTTGCCAGTTTTCTAAGTGAAGAATATGGATTTTGTAATACTTTATCATCCTATCACAATCCTCCCCTCACCACACAACCCTCCCCCCCCCCCCCCCACCACCAGTGCTATTTGGCCAGACAGCCAAATGAATGGCACTTACTCTTTTCAATTAGTGGGTTTGTTTGGCTGCTTCAGTTAAGACTAAAACTCTTAATTTCAAAAGAGAGATACGGCTAATTAAAAAAAAATTCCTGTTTCCTTATGGAGAGTAAGAGTGGGGAAAGGAGAAACATTAAGGACAGTGTGCTAGAAGACAGATCATCCTCATGACTTACAGTATCCACTTGACGCAGTACTGTGCCTTCTCCAAAAAAGAGTGGTTTCCGTGCATCCACCAAGATCAGGTCAAAGTAGGACTGCCATGGTCGATGGGAGCTCCCAGGCTGGTGAAGGACAAACAGCAAAAGTTGAAACATCACTCCTCACTTTAAGGCATTACTATTTAACTCACTCAGATGCAAGGAATATAAAAATACTAAGTATAGCCAGAAGATCCTACTATTTTATTTTTCAAAAAGGTGTTGTGTCAGCCAGGCGTGGTGGCTCATGCCTGTAATCCCAACACTTCAGGAGGCCGAAGCAGGTGGATCACAATGTCAGGAGATCAAGAGCATCCTGGCCAACATGAGAAAAACCTGTCTCTACTAAAACTACAAAAATTAGCCGGGCGTGGTAGCAGGCGCCTGTAGTCCCAGATACTTGGGAGGCTGAGGCACGAGAATCGCTTGAACCCAGGAGGGGGAGGATGCAGTGAGCCGAGATTGTGCCACTGCACTCCAGTCTGGCAACAGAGCGAGACTCCATCTCAAAAAAAAACAGTATTGTGTCTATGTATTATAAGCCATATCCTTTGGTAAGCAGACAAGGTATAAATAATAAATAACTGTATTCCACACATTAAATTGTTTCATCTACTACTAAACTACAATAACTTATTTTACAGCACTTTAATATATGAAAGTGTGCTCAGCTGAAATTTGCTAAAAGGAGCTCAAAAGAGCTAGGAAGAGATGCAAATCAATACCCAAGGGACAGATTAAGAGAGAGGTAGATCAGCATCAGAGCTCAAGTATACAAACTAACATGGAACTATTAGGAGATTTTACTGGTTACATTCTCAGAATGATGGCTCTAGGTATACACTGGGTTTTGGCTCATACTGTAAGCTAATCACAATACTAATAATGAGTTATGCATATTAAAATCATGACTACCCTGAAATAGAACCCTGGCATTAACCTTTTAAGACCAACCTGAAGGACACTGCACCCTGTGATTTCAGGTGTTCTCAAAACGAATTTGCTGATGTTTATTCACTAAAGTCTAGGACTAAAATTCTGTAAGTATGTGACTAAGTTGCAAGGAGTATTCCTTAAACCTAAGTGCAGCCCTTCTGCAGAAATGAAGACTTCTCTGCTAAATATTAAGGTTAAGTGCTGTCTTGGCAAAAACTTAGCAACAACTAATACAAAATCTAGAAGTTGTCAAGAATATACATACATTTTCTGTTTTAATCAAATATCTTCCACAACCTGAAAATTCCTTTCACTGCCACACAAACTTAATTCTGCATAGAACTTCTTGGGCATAAAATTATTCTGATCCCATCCTACTAAATATCACATGAATATCCCTTTTATTTCTGTCTACTAAGTATTCAAGTTGTGGACTCTAAATTAGCAATTTGATTTTAAATTCTACTAGCTCCTGGATTCTAATGTTAATGAAGATTAGACAATAGGCTTAAAAAGTAGGACTTTTCTGGGTGGGTTCTGACCAATTCTTTCCCCCTTAATATTCCAGAATGATTAAATGCATTCATTATTACTAAAGCAATGGTCTACTGAGTCACATACCTTGGGGCCATGTGGGAAGTCAAACAGGTAAGTCATAATTTTCTGGAAAAAAAAATTTTTTACCATAAGGTCCATATACTACTTTTGCAAAAGGCATATAACCTAAAGAAATTACAAGCTCTTCACAAAACATGTCTTCTTCAACATAGGACTCACCACATTCTTGTTTCCTCTAAATTTTATGAAGTCATGGCAGTGGAAGCCAAAAATTAATGCTTTACCATATACCAAAAAGAAAAAAAGGCTTCTGACATTCTCAGGGAGGATACATACTTCCTCTGGAAGATGTTTTTGAACACACATTTGGAGGTAAGGAGCATATGAGGTAGGGGTACAGAGAAAACTAATGACTCACACAGAAATAACCTATCACTTTGGCTTTGCTACTACCATCCCTAGACCAACTAAGTCAACAAACCAATGGTTTATATAAGACTATTTACTACAAATCACCAGGTGTCTAAATCAAGTTTATATGTACAGCAAATTGGGGGAAGTGGAACTTCTTGCTAGTACTATAAACTTGTGTCTCAGCAAAGTAAGATGAAGTTAAGGAATTAGATCAGTTTTTCCACATGCTTTAATCATGGGAAAAAATTGTTTTTAAGAGGTAGTAAATTTTGGGCTGGGCGCGGTGGCTCACGCCTGTAATCCCGCCACTTTGGGAGGCCGAGGTGGGTGGATGACGAGGTCAGAAGTTCAAGACCAGCCTGTCCAAGATGGTAAAACCCCATCTCTACTAAAAATACAAAAAAAATATTAGCTGGGCGCAGTGGCAGGCACCTATTGTAATCCCAGCTACTTGGGAGGCTGAGGCAGGAGAATCACTTGAACCCAGGCAGCAGAGGTTGCAGTGAGCCGAGATCACATCACTGCGCCCCAGCCTGCGTGACAGAGTGAGACTGTCTCACCAAAAAAAAAAAAAAAAAAAAGATGTAGTAAATTTTGATGGCTAAGAGCCCAAACATCTGTGCACCATCTATTGCTGCAGGTCTTCCAACAGCAGGGAAGTCATATATACACATCAATAAGGGATGGGACTGCTCAAGTTTATAGAAATGATGCTCCAAGGAGACACAAAAGCCATTTTAATCTTTACAAATGTTTTAAATAACCCCAAGATTAAAATTTTCAAGTAGCCAATCATAATCCGTGAAAATGGTTAAAATAAATTTCTAGAAAAATTTAAGAACCACTGTTATTATCCTGTATATTTTTGCCTTTTTACTCTGAAAATGAGAAGGCAAGAAACTACTTTCACGTAATAAACTTCTATACTCCTCACTGTCTTCACAGTTCTTTAGGCCAAAATAATTCCACTGAATAAACAAATATAAACATTAAGTACTTACATCTGTATATTTATAGTCACTGTTGGTAGCAAGAAATACTTTCCCTACTTCCTTCATCCGGCTCAGAAGCAAAGGCAGTTTTCCCTGAAATGTAATTGGATAATGAGTGAAACAGAAACACATTTTTATCTTTATACTTTGGAGTTGTCATATACTGGATTTCTGTCCACAATAGGAATGGGGGAACCTTTTAAGGGTTAGCTGATTTTGGAATTTTGCACTTAAAATCCCACATTATCACTACAAATGAATGAAGTGTTAACATATGTAGTATACACAGTGTATATAACAGATTTACATGTAAAATTATACACATATTTATCAGGGTTATATGGCTGTTAACAACATATCTCTACCTTCCTCATGATGTCTGCCTCAGGAAAGAGTTTAAATTAACTTAAATTAACTTGAGATTTCTTGAAGTATGTGAGGTATGTTAGCGATCAGGAGAAGCTGACTTAACATGCTGTACCATAGAGAGTATCAGATATGGCTTTCAGTGTGTATACTATGGTTTTATAAAACACCTTGCAGAATGAAATGACATGTGCAGATGCTACCTAGAAATACCCACACCCATGTGCGCTTAAATGAGGAAATTCTAACCCCTCACGTGCCTGGAAAGAAAAATACCTTTTCCTTCTCTCATAGCAAATAGATTCATTCCTTCACTCAAATTCTCCCGGACCCTCCCCATTCAGTGTTCTTTCTTGAAATAAGGGAGGTGGGTGAAAATAGGAGGCACAAAAACTGAAAACAAGAAATCTTTACCACAGTACTTTGAGAAAATACTGTATTCTGCTACTTTTACTCTGTAGGAAAAGAAAGAAGTATGTCATCTTGGGGCACTATGTGTGTTTAATTTTTATTCTAAAACAGTTCTAGACTTATAGAAAAGCTGTGAAAAGTAGAGTTCCCATATATTCTTCCTCCAGTTTCCCTTAATATTAACATCTTACATAACCACAGTACAATTATCAAAAGTATGAAATTAACATTGGTACAATACTATTAACCACAAATTTTTAAAAAATTTCATCAGGTTTCCCAATATTGCCTTTTAAGGTATTTTAAAGCTTTCCTTATTACTCTCTGTTGACAGGTTAAAGGCATTTTAAATAACGGTAACATATATGCACATTTTTGAGATGATCTAGTGTAGTAGTTATAATCTGGGTATGACTCAGCTTTACTACTTACTAACTGTGTGACCTTTGGCAAGTTATTTAATCCCTCTATTTCTCAGTTATCTATAAAACAGAGGTAACAATAATACCTAACTCAGGGTCATACAGAAGATTAAATGGCATAATGCATGTAATCACTTAGCATGGTGATGTGTATACAGTAAACCTCTAACTGCTATTATAATTGAAGCTAAATGGGCAAATGAAATACTGAGTCTTCTTGCCTATCAAGAAATGGAAAAACTATACTAAGACCTATGCTCTAGCTGAATATTCTTGGTGATTATATCTGGCACATACTACACCAAGACAAAGAAATCTCTTCCTTTGTCCATTTCATTATAAATCAGCTTGTTATTCATTTCCCTAATAGGTAAAATGAGCTATTATGCAGATCTATTTTCCCCTATATTACTTACATCTTTGACTACATACTTCTCAAGATTTTCAACTGTCTTTTCCTTAAGGGAGCCCTAGGGGAAGAAAAAAAAAAGGAATTAAGAAAAGAACAAAATCAGTTTTTAACATGTAGTTTATAAGAAAAATGGTGTTTACTAATCAACCTAAATTCTTTCTTTTTTTGAGACAAGGTCACCCTATTGCCCATGCTAGAGTGCAGTGGTGTAATCTCGGCTCACTGCAGCCTCGACCTCCCCAGGCTTAGGTGATCCTCCCACTTCAGCCTCCCAGGTAGCTGGGACCACAGGTCCACACCAACACACCTGGCTAATTTTCTGTATTTTTTGTAGAGACAGGGTTTTGTCATGTTGCCCAGGCTAGTCTTGAACTCCTGAGCTCAAGCAATCCACCTGCCTCGGCATCACAAAGTGCTGAGATTACAGGCATGAGCCATCATGTCCAGCCTCAAATGCATTTCTTAAGGATTTATCAAAATAGAAAAGTGACAAACTAGAGAAGGCCAGAAAAAAGTAGCAGGTATGATATGCTGCAACCCTGCCTCTAAAATTTGTCTTCAAAATATAAAACAGCTTCAAGTTTGAAATTAAAAGGCATTTATTTTATTCAATAGTTTATAATAAATGTAAATTTAATATTAATTATTGTTAGTAGTCAGGTGGGAGGTATCTGGACAAAAAAAAAAATGGACCACTGTCATCCACAAAGGATATGTTAAGTATAATGTAATACACTAAAACCTCTTCTAAGTTTGAGAAATGCAAACTAAAATAAAATCCAGAAGCCAAACACCATCACTGAGGAAAGATCAACATTACCTCCAAGACCAAAGACAAGAACATATGTATTCTGGAGAGCTATCACTAGGGGGCAAATCCATTTTGTCTTTTTTTTTTTTTTTTTGAGACGGAGTCTCTCTCTGTCTCCCAGGCTGGAGTGCAGTGGCCGGATCTCAGCTCACTGGAAGCTCCGCCTCCCGGGTTCACGCCATTCTCCTACCTCAGCCTCCCGAGTAGCTGGGACTACAGGCGCCCGCCAACTCGCCCGGCTAGTTTTTTTGCATTTTTTAGTAGAGACAGGGTTTCACTGTGTTAGCCAGGATGGTCTCGATCTCCTGACCTTGTGATCCGCCCGTCTCAGCCTCCCAAAGTGCTGGGATTACAGGCTTGAGCCACCGCGCCTGTCCATTTTGTCTTTTTTTAAAAAAAGGAAATATTCTGCTCCATTTGGAAAGTTAATGCCAGGCCATAAAACACGTGCCAGAAAGCAAGCAGGTGAAGCAGCTTCTAGGTACCTTGTAATGAACCCAGTCAACAGCATCTCTTACATCCTGGAACATACTCCGGTAGGACATGAAGAGGTCCCCATCTTTAAATCCTGTTTCACAACTACAGAAAGATAAAAAGAACATGACAGGGGATCCAAAACAGGGCAATAAAATATATGTCAAAAATTTCCCAGGGGACCCAAAGGTTCCGTATCATATGGGTAAAGGCTGTGGCTAATGAGGAAAATAATTACTCCCTAATGAAAGTCCACTTTGACCACCAGAAATGGCTATAGTGTTCAACGGAATACAATAATTGTGAACAAATACAAAGTGATGGAAGAATATATTGAATGTAAGCTAAAAGGCCAAAGTTCCAAAAATATCAGGTTTTTTTATTTTTCACTTTTTAGAAACAGGTTGAAGAAACATTTAAAACTTAAAATTGGTCATTTAGGTTCTTTCCACCCTGACTTTTCTGACACTGTCCCTAAGTACAAAGGTACTGTCCATTTTTTATTTAGTTCAGTGACTCAGCTTTCCACCAAATTTAGTGTCTTCAAGTAGATAAAGCCCAAAGAGGATATGAAGTTAGCCAACTCTGGCTAAACTTTCAGTATTGGCTATATAACTCTCCCTAAAGGAAGAGGATAACTTATTTAAGACTTATGCAAAATTTTACTTCTGGTAAGATACACAGTATTTATTCCTTAATCAAATCTTGCCGGGCCTGGAAATGAAATTAAATTACCATCCCTGAATGGCTCCTGGGTAGCTGCTGTGAAATGAGTTGGGGGGTTTTAGTGTAATTCTGCTTGGACAGATAATCATCACACAAACCTCCCACTCAGTTGTCACAATTAGCACCTCTGCTGGCCGTCTTCATTCCCAGGAGAAGCCAATCAGAAGTGGTGGCTGCAGCACACTGGCAAGGAGAGGGGCCGTGTGGGAGGTGAGAGCCTGCATGGAGCTGCTGGTGCTGTCCCATCTCTCAGGCTGGCAATGTGGCATCTCTCACTAGCACTAAATTCACTTTAGAAAAGCAGAAAAGACCTACAATGGCCAGTTCTCTAAAACCCTGTGCATTAATTTAAAAAATCAATTGGAAAAAAAAAAAATATAGTATGTACATACCTGGTATATCTGGGACAATTAGTAAAAAAATCTACTAGGCAGGCCAACAGGTAGGTCTCTGAAAAATGAAGAACAGATACTCATAAGCTATAATGAAATAATTCCAACTTATTTCATTATCTCCCTTGAACAGAGACTAATGGTCACAGAAGGGAAAGCATCAGTATAAACAAGCATAGAATGAATCTACCTGGTAGGTTGAATAGTGTGTTCAGAATGTAAAATCTTTCAGTATCATCTCGCTGGATAAATTTATTTGGATACTGTTCTCTAGTTTCTGGTCTGAAAGAAAAATTTAAAAATTAAATGATTTTTAAAATAACATTATAATAATTGGGAAATAGCATTATTCAAAACTTAACTCAAATATTTTGATGGCTATGTGCAAGACAGGATTCCGACTATTAAGCATGGGTAGCTATGAAGATGAATGAGTTCAGGTTCCAGCTCTTTTTCAATTTTATTTTATTTTATTTTTAAGACAGAGTCTTGCTATTTTAAGTCCAGGCTGGACTTAAACTCCTGACGATTGCTCAAGCAATCTTCCCACCTCAGCCTCCCAAGTAGCTGGGATTACAGGTGTGATGTCCAGCTTAGGTTCCAGCTCTTAAGAGAGTTGTCAGTGTGGTAGGCGAGATGGGTCACATACACATATAATTATACGGTAAAAATCACAACTACCACAAGAGAAGTGCAAAAATTTATGAGAAAACCAAAGAAGGGAACACCATTTCAACTTAAGGGGTAGAGAGAGGCAAATGTGAGGACTAAGGAGAGGAAAATCTAGGAAGGATTCATGCACATGCTGGCATATGACCTATGCCTTAAAGGCCAGGTGGACCAGTTGTGAAACTAGTCCAGTTTGGGTAGAGAAAGGGGAGCAGAGAAAAATTAAGCTAGAAAGATGGGTTGAGGCAGATTAAACTACTGTTCCTACACCATTTAGGGGCAAGAGGGTACTACTGACAGTTTTAAAGCAGAGGGATAATCCCATCGGGGCTGAGTTGTAAAACAAAATTAAATAAGTGGCTGTTTTAGGATAAACCGGGGGAAAGACAACGTGATGCACTCCAACAATGGCCACAAATTCTTCCTGTCTCTCTGTGATGCAATTTTGTGGCTCCTCCCATTAGAACTCAGTCTATTTCTCTATCCTTGAATACAGGCTTGTATAGCAGGAAATGAGATCCAAGCAGAGACCTAGAAAAACATTTGTGTATTGAAGCTTAATCTCTCTTGCAGCACTTGGAACCACGGACTACTACGTGCATGAGAGTGAGATAGTCTACTGGAGGATAGAAGGCTACATGTAGAAATGAAGCACTTGGCCAACAGCCTGCAAATGCCAGACATGTGCACGAAGCCATTCTAGATTAGATGCTAGGTTACCCAGCAGCTAACCACAGACATGTGAAAGAGCATGGAGAGATCAGCTGTGCAACGCAGAATTGCCCAGTTGAGTCCTAGAATTTTTTTTTTTTTGAGACAGAGTCTTACCCTGTTGGTCAGGCTGGAGTGCAGTGGCATGATCTCAGCTCACTCATATATTCAAGAGAGATTACCAAGGTAAAGTAAGACCCAGCAAACAGTAGATTTGGCTGGGGGGACATTAAGAGTCAAAGATGATGATGTCCATGCTAAGGTGTCTCTGAGAGGTGGTTGGTACGATGAACAGAAATATGAAAACTGAATAACAAAGGATGTAAGAGTAGTTCTATTTTGGTGATACTAAGCTTGAAGTAAACAGATTTTTATCAGGCAACTAGAAACAAAGGTCAAGAACTTAAAACAGAGATTCGGACTTGAGAGATAACTGAGATCATCTACGTACAGATACTAGATGGAATCATGAAAAGTATTAGAGGAGATGAAGCCACTTAGTGTGCAGGGAAGGAAGAGGAGACAGAACAGAACCATGAAGAAAATTCAGGGTTTAAAAGAAAAAAAGCCAGTGAAGCAGAATTTGTTAAAGATGCAGAAACACTTCTAGAAGAAAACATTTCAGAGAAACTCAAAGGGAAAAATACTAAAATATAAAAAGGCACAATTCTGACAGTGAATACATGGAGATTAACAATCTAAATAAAGGAAATCAAATTTAAAGTTCACACGCAGAGTGACCTGGATAAATTCCTGCTTGGGTTTCTTAACTACAAATGGCATAAACTCCAGTTAGACATACAAAAATCACATTAGCTCCCTGTCTTAAGTCACTCTTCTGAGATGAGAGCTCCCAATAATGAATAACTTTGTAGAGTATCTCATTTTCTAGCTTTCCAAGATTTTCTTTAATAAAAGTAAGGTGGAAAGTAACAGTAAAAATATATTTTCTTCAGTCAGGTTTAATAAGCTGACACTGTCTCCTTAGATACAATATACTTCCCTATTCCCTCCATCATTAAAGAAAAATTCCTTTACATAAAGATGGTTAACAGTTATTTATTAGGCAGTTAGAATCCAAATTGATTTATAAATATAGTTAGCAATTACATTGTAAACTTCAGTGTCAAATCACACTAGTATATATTTAAAATAAAAATCAATTTGGGGGAGGAAATGTATCATAAAAGAAGAAATGCTACACTTGGAATGGGAAGAAAACAGTTATAGCACAGATTACTACTAACTTTCTGTGACCCACAGAATAAAGATTTATCAAAATATAAGGTCCTAACTTACGAGCAAAGCCCAAAGAAGCCCTTCTTTTCCAGCCCTGTCTACCATTGTAATAGCTTCAATAACTATTTCTTTCTTTTCCTCTATCTTCAGACTCTTTTTTTATGGGAATTTTAATTTTATAAATTTATTTTTTTGGGGGGGGGGATAGGGTCTTGCTCTGTTGCACAGGCTGGAGTACAGTGGCATGAACACAGCTCACTGCAGCCTCAACCTCCTGGGCTCAAGCAATCCTCCTGCCTCAGTCTCCCATATAGCTGGGACCACAGGCATGCACCACCATGCCCAGCTACTTTTTGATAGTTGTAGAGACAGGGTTTTACTTTATTGTCCAGGCTGGTCTGGAACTCCTAGGCTCAAGCAGTCTTCTTTCCTTGTCCTCCCAAAGTGCTGAGATTACAGGCATAAGCCACTGTGCCTGGCCAGTTTTTCTGTTTAACTCTAAAGACTGCACAGTGCTAAGTGCTATTTGAATGATTCTGCATTCACTCGTAAATGACTTATTTTTTAAACTATTAAATGCATTAGCAAAAGAGCTATGTGGAAACCTTATTGGCTTATTTAGGGGAATAGAGGAAGTCTGTTGATCTTGAGTTAGTAAATGTGATCGTAGTACTAATTTATCCAACTGCTTCTCTTTTCTTCTCTGCCTACCCCTCCCTCATAATACAAAAATTCCTTTTTAGATATAATAGAACCCTGGTTCATCTTGAGATTCTGAGTTATGATGACAGCATCTGTGTATGAAATAGCTTAAGTTACTAGTACAACTTGTAATTACTTCATATTCTAAATCCTGTTTCCTGATATTTTCATGGATCCTGAACAAACCCCGTCATAAAAACAGTGAAGGAAATGTGCATGTAATCACTGGCCTGCTCAGATGTGTCAAGATGGGTGTTTACTTCACACTGTTCTCATGTATACATGGAAATCTCTGAGCCTGTGTAATGTCAGTAATGCCAACTAAAGAGTCTTATATCAGATGCTTCAATTCTAAGGGGCATCCTGTGACCTCAAATCTATAGGAACCTCTGGTACTATTTCAGTTGGTTTGTGCCTCTTATCACAAAAAAAGATATTGTCTTTTTAAACATTTCAATGTAGCCTGGTGTTTTTCCTATTCCGCCATCAAGAATGAATAGTAAATGGAAACATTACATAAGAGACTGACACACATCCTATTCTGGTTTTACAAGCTATTGTTCTGACCTTAATACAATGTCAATAGTAAATAAGGTAGCATTAACAGTAGAGGAAATGTATAACTGTAATGCTATAGCTACAGAAGTTGTCAAATTGTGGCATTATGATTTTTTAAAGAAAATATCGGGGCATTTCACACCAAAAAATAGTAGATACTAAATTTCACCTGCTGTTTACTAGGGTAAAAAGTTCAAATTAGTGACAATAGTGGAAATATTTTTATTTTGAAAATAAAGCTTATCCTGCCAGGCGCGGTGGCTCACGCCTGTAATCCCAGCACTTTGGGAGGCCGAGGCAGGTGGATCACCTGAGGTTGGGAGTTCAAGACCAGCCTGACCAAACATGGAGAAACCCTGTCTCTACTAAAAATACAAAATTAGCCAGGCGTGGTAGCACATGCCTATAATCCCAGCTACTAGGGAGGCTGAGGCAGGAGAATTGCTTGAACCTGGGAGGCAGAGGTTGTGGTGAGCCGAGATCGTGCCATTGCACTCCAGCCTGGGCAACAAGAGTGAAACTCCATCTCAAAAAAAAAAAAAAAAAAAAAAAAAAGATAAAGCTTATCCTTATTTGTTTTAAATATTATTACCACATACTCATTTTAACCTTATGTTTAAATTTTTTTAATGACCCAATCAAATGTCAGGATTCAAAATTTAGATTCATTAGAATCTAAAAAACATACTGGCTATTACAAATCTCTTAATTATTTAAATTGCTGTAGTTTAAAAATTTTCAAAGTATTTTTATATACATACCTCTTTTGAACAGCTACCTGAGAACTGTATTAGAAAGAAGAAAATAAAAATCTTAGAATTTCAAATAAGTCAAAACTACTAAAGTTCTTCTGGGCAAGTTTCAAGATTAGTTTTGTTGTATGCTGTACAATTGGAAGGCACTTAATTTAAACAAAATGTAATTGCTAACTATATGTCAGTTTGGGTTCCAACTGCCTAATAAATGACTGTTAACTAACCTTATGTAAGGGAATTTGCTCTTTAATGATGAAAAGTAATAGGGAAATATATTGCATCTGGGGAGATGATGTCATCTTCACATTGTTTGACTTTAACATTAGAAAGAGGCTAAACGTTCTTTGTACTCACCCCCTTATAAAGTTAAATCCATGTGCACAGACCAAGAGGTTTCCATAGGCATCGACTTTCAAAAGATTTCCATATAGTGTGTCAAAGACAAGTCCCCTATGTGAAAATGAAGACATTATTGATAATGCAAAGTAATACAGGCAATAATTTTATTTAGTATTATTTAATCATCATGAACTGACCTCATCTAATTCAAGCTTTGTACCAACTCAAGTATGTCCTAATATAGCTAAAATGAGTAAAATCTTAAAAACTAATTCTAAAGCAACTAAAAAATATTGACTCTGTCCAGAGAGATAATCATAATTGTTTTCTGTAAGGAATAAGTCCTTAATCAAACAAGATATAAACAAAATTCCTCTTACTACACAGCTGGTACCATTCTAAAACATAGTCTTTTTTCTTGGACAACTGAGAAGGCTTATATCTTCCTCCATTAGATGCTATATGTGGGATATATATGATAGCATCTCAAGTAAACATCATTTTCTTAATCTTAAAGATTCCCTATCAAATCCAGAAACGGAAACTGCCAAGCTTCTATCATGTTAAGTGTATTAGAGAAACACATACCTATTTGCCGGCAGCCCCGAATAACACCACCTGTCATTACTACCCGTCAGTTTTAGTAATCTCCTTTTTCCCCCATAAGTGGGTCTTCCTCAGTTGCAATAAAATGAGCTTAATTCAGGAACACCAAGATATGGTGTATATGAAAAGTTCATGGTAATTTTAGAATCAACATCAACCAACCAAAAAAACAACAAAGAATTATTCAATGTTTTTTGGGGGTTTTTTGTTGTTGCTGTTAAGGATGAATTTGGAATGTCTAATTTGAGGGGTAAGGAAAGTAGTCTTAATCCAAAAATATCTTTAAAAATTACCTGGTAGGGAATGTAGAATCATAAGCAAAGCTGAGCAACTCCTGGGGATAGCCAATAGAAACTAATCTCTCCACAGTAAGCTCAAAACCAAGGGACTCATACTCCGGGGACTTGTACACTGCACAAAGAGGAGGTTTTCATTAGTTACCAGAAAGAACAGCCAATTAAAACAGAATGAAAATGAATGAATTTCTTCTGCTCTTTCCCAATTCTTCCCCCCTCCTAATTCTGCCATTTTTCTTTTTCCCCCTCAAACTCCATGTTCTGCACTGCCCCAAGTAATTAGAGAACTCAATTGTTAGTCTGTGGAAATAGGTCATATTATATAGCAGGAGCACAGCAACAAGCTGAATTATCAAATTATTCAGTAAAGTTCCTTCATTCTCAGGAAATCTATTCCAAACATTTTTTCCCTTTATTCTTTCATTCCCACGGTTTAAAAAAAATGAGTATGCATAGCTGTGATATTAATCGTGAGAATAAAAGTACACAGAAAACTAAGGGAGGTCTATATATGTTGAAAGCTTCAGTGTTGTGCATAATTGTTGCAGAAATCCTTCAAAATGAACTTTTAAAATAATTTATTTTTGGAATTCCTGTTTGGCTTGGGTAGTTGCTTTATACGCCTTCTCCAATCAACATATTTGTTCCACTTTAGATTATTTTCTTATCAGCTCTAACAATGTATGCCATCAAAATTGTATTTTGCACGTTATTACTGTAAACCAACCATAAAAAGATGTTTGTGACAATTAGGGAAATCTAAATATGAACTGGAGTTAAGATACTGAAGATTGGTCAGGCTTGGTGGCTCATGCCTGTAGTTCCAGCACTTTGGGAAGCCGAGGTGGGCAGATCACTTAAGGTGAAGAGTTTTGAGACCAGCCTGGCCAACATGGTGAAACTCCGTCTCTACTAAAAATACAAAAAATTAGCGGGGTGTGGTGGTGCCTGCCTGTTGTTCCAGCTAGGAGGCTGAGGTGGGAGAATTGCTTGAACCTGAGAGGCAGAGGTTGCAGTGAGCTGAGATCATGCCACTGCACTCCAGCCTGGGTGACAGAGTGAGACTCTGTCTAGAAAAAAAAAAAAAAAAAAATGCCAGTGTGTACATAAAACTAAATCTCTCCCTATCTGCGAAAGGAGTATTGAGTTTCTTACAGGTCGAATAACAGGGATTTCAGGCAATTGGGGGGTTCTCTCTACTACTGTATAAGTCTGAAATTTTCCATAATGAAAAAACTTTTTTTAGAGTTACTACTGAAATTCAAGCATAAAGGAAATGTTGCAGCCAGGTACGGGGGCTCACGCCTGTAATCCCAGCACTTTGGGAGCCCGAGGCGGGTGGATCACTTGAGGTCAGGAGTTCTAGACCAGCCTGGCCAACATGGTGAAACCCCATCTCTACTAAAAACACAAAAATTAGCTGGGCATGGTGGCAGGCACCTGTAATTCCCAGCTACTCAGGAGGCTGAGGCAGGAGAATCGCTTGAACCCAGGAGGCAGAGGTTGCAGGGAGCCGAGATTGTGCCACTGCATTCCAGACTGGGTGAAAGAGTGAGACTGTCTCAAAAACAACAGAAAAGAAAATATTGCTCCTTTAAATAGGTTTCTTCCAAATGAAATATTTAGGTAAGCATCCTTCCATCAGTCTCCAGGAGTGAGTAAGCCATATTAAAAATAACAACTAAAAAGACCTGCCAGTTTCCTAAATGCCAAATGAGGCAAAAATATTCATCCTATTCTTGTAATCTCATAATAATGCAATTATTATATTATTATAGTTCTTCCATCTACTATTAACATCTTTAGCTTATGGTGCAAACTGATTTTTCATTGCAATTAGTCTACCTGTCCAAGTTGGTGCTAATACTTTAATGAGTGTGATTCAACTTTCCCTTCCCAAAAACAATCCTTTAGAATATTTCTGGAAATATATAACAGTAATACTAGTTGCCTCCTAGGAAGGGAACGGAGTGGCCTTTAAGAGACAGAGAAGGAGACTGTCATGTACCTCCTGTACCTTTAAAACTTATATTAATGTACATCTGTTTTTAAAATTAAACTGAAGTTTTTAAAAAGCAAGCTGGGCTTTCAAAATCCTTTAATAAATATTTGTCACATTTGAAAACCAGAAGCCTAAAATTTTTAAGGTCTTTTGAGTCTCATCTCATCAGAACAATGCCAAAAGAAAAAAAAACATTTTTATTTCTTTTGTTGTTACAAGGGTAATAATAATTTAATGCCAACGCTAATCCCAGCTAACATTATTTTTCTTTTTCTTTTTCTTTTTCTTTTCTGAGTCAGAGTCTCACTCCATTGTCCAGGCTGGAGTGCAGTGGCCGTGATCTCGGTTCACTGCAACCTCTGCCTCCCAGATTCAAGCAATTCTCGTGACTCAGCTTCCCAAGTAACTGGGATTACAGGTGCCCACCACAATACCTGGCTAATTTTTGTATTTTTAGTTGAGACGGGGGTTTCACCTTGTTGGCCAGGCTGGTCTCCAACTCCTGATGTCAAGTGATCCGCCCGCCTCAGCCTCCCAAAGTGCTGCAATTATAGGCTGAGCCACCACGCCCAGCCATGGCTAACATTTTCAAAACTGGCTATATTACCTTCTTCCCCTTAAATCCTGCCTCATCCTCTCCCATCCCCCTAAAAAAAACTTGTTGAAGACTTAAGTGTGGAATTCCTAAATCTATATGATGTATACTGTGGTTAAAAAAATAACGTGTTATATACATACACTAGCAGAGTAAGAGCTGGTGTATCATAAAACCAAAGGCATGGCATCTACTGTTGTAAATTTATGTTAAAAGTATAACCACTCTCACCTTACCCTCCTCAATGCCCCATGCTCCTACCCTAGTTGCAAGTAAATCTCATTTTAGTACAATCTCCATAAAACGAAAATTATTTCTCAATCCTAACCTAGGCCCCATTTATCTCAAACTGTATTTAATGAAATAAAATTCCAGTACAGCTAAGTAATTTGGGTAATCTACTGACATTTATTCTTATAGGATGTGGTCCATATAAAATGTTTTCAATTGTTAATTTTTCAGAAGGACAATCTTCTGGATATGCCTTAAGAGTGGGAGACAAAAAACAAACCTTAATTACTCCCACCCACACTCACCCCTGAATCAGCAATTTTCTCCAGCTAGATAATCAGGTAATTATAGAGCAATGCAGTAACCAGTGAGTAAAACCTATGTCTATGAGACAATTTGGATTTGAAACTCAAATTAATGTATTCAGAATTTTCAGTGAAAAACAATACAGGGGAGAAAAAAGTCTCAAATCCCCATTTTGACAGCACAAATCCTAGAATAGCAGAAAATAAAAACACTATACATGCCACATTATATTTATTTGCAGGGCAGAATTTCCCAAGTGTTCAACCGAAGTGACTTTCTAGAAATTCCACGTATGGAAATACTTTAAATTTCCCTTTTCTCAATGAGCTCAGAGTACTTCCTAAAATTATATCTTCACCATTTGCTGACATGAAGTTATATAGCAAGTACAAACATCAGCTGAAGCCAAAATTTAGGTCTCTTTGAGTCTCATCCAAAAGCTCTTTGTAAGGCCAGGAGTGGTGACTCACACGCCTGTAATCCCAGCACTTTGGGAGGCTGAGGCGGGCGGATCATTTGAGGTCAGGAGATTGAGACCACCCTGGCCAATATGGTGAAACCCCATCTCTACTAAAAACACAAAAATTAGCTGGGCGTGGTGGCTCGCACCTGCATTCCCAGCTACTTGGGAGGCTGAGACAGGAGAAATCATTGAACCCAGGAGGCGGAGGCTGCAGTGATCCAAGATTGCACCACTGCACTCCAGTCTGGGTGACAGAGCGAGACTTCATCTCAAAAAACAAACAAAAGCTCTTTGTGATAGGGTATATATACTAAACTATCACTGCAAAAAATGAATTTCTAGATTACATAAGCCATCAAAACTTAAGCATGGGTGTTGAAACATACACTTCTCCTCCAATTTTTTTCAACTAGTCCAAAATAAACTGCTCTACTCACAAGTGGGAATGGATTTAGTAAAGAGAGTCCAAGTTCTGCCCAGACAACACTATTTCATCAAGCTCTATATTAATCAGTAATACCTACAAGCTATTGACATTTTCTCATAAGCATCCCAGATAATCATTTCAGCAACACAAACTCCCTGGTCATTAAATTATCTGCTATATAGTACAACCAAGGTTGGAGAAGCAGAATTGCAGCTGCACAGAGCATGAATTTAGATGTTTTATTCTAAGTGTCCCTAGTGATAAACATATTTGTTGTGACCTGGTGGCAAAAATTCCTGAAGCTAAGTACCGCCATTCCTTTGAAAATAAAAATAAAATACAAAAAATAAAATTCCTTTTTTAATCAACCAGGCTCTACAAAGCCAGCCTCAGATATTTATGGGAAACCATATATATCTCCTCAGACTTAGAGCTTTACGCCTCTCCACAGCTGCAAAGGCTCTAATTTCAATTTCTCTCCCACAACTGTGGCATGTAAATGATGCACAGCTTCAAGTTCAACTCTCACAATCGACTTTCTGTGGTTCCAAAACCCAGGCAATAGCTTAAGAGTAAACATAACTTCACACATTTTCTGCTTATTTCTTCTCCCAGAAGGTACTCTGGCCTACCCCTAGTTACTCAATATAGGAAGACAAAGGAAGAAGCTATTTTAAGGGCTGGAGTCCAAAAAGGAGGACTGCTTCAGCCACTAGGACAGCACACAGTGTTCTCAGGTTACATAATTAGACTATAAAGAAAACAACCAACGCTTTAAAAGTTGAAGTTACTGAGAGCATTTAAAGATATTCTTTACTCCATAATCTGCAAGGAAAAAACAGTTCTTCAAAAAATAACTCTGTTTTCGGGATGAAAGTTGTGGGCTCTGTTTTGAGTAGATGCTGTTCATACAAGATAGAATATATGTTAAAGGACGAAGTCCCTTTGGAATGAGCAGAAGACTTTCCGCAGGGAAGTCTGGAATTCTCATGCACTTTTTACCATTGCCACCAAGACACACTATGTAGTAATTTATAGATTTAGAAAAATAAAGGGCAAACCTCTACAGAGGTTCCAGCCTAGCAGAGTGCTGCTGCCAAAATGAGAACTCACATGAGGCAGATGCAGATGCAGTGTGTGTCACTCCAGTCTTGAAGGAGTTACACTGGCTCTCCTGTTAAAAAACAAAACAAAGCAACAAAACAAAACAAAAACAAAAACAAAAGCTGGTTTTAAAACTGTTGTGATGGGCTGGAACAGAGAGATACCATTTGGAAACTGGTATAACAGGAGTTACTACTGCCCTCCAATTTAGAAGCCTCTGACCATCACTAAAATTAGCCTAATTGGCCATAACAAAACAAGGGTATTGAAGATAAGCCTAAGTATTATTGTGTATTATTTACTTTTCTGGCACCCTGAGTCTGGAATGCAAGCCAAGTCTGATCCTAAAATGTTAAGTCGAAAGACAAACAGAAAAATAAGTCCACTGGTCTTAGTTTATTTTCTCTACCACATTTCAGGCTAACACGATAGAAACTGAATGCAGCTGGGAAATGGTGTTTAAAATTAAACTATGGGTAGTGAAACAGACTGAATAAAGGATATAAAAACAAACCAGAGTGGCCTCACCTTGCTTCCAAGTACCCATTTTAGCTGAGTCTACCTATACCTAATTACTAAGTTAGTCATTATCAAGATTCTAGTCATCATTATCAAGATGACTACAATCAACTGCACACTGCTAAAAATCTAACCAGGTATCTAAATTTGGAATGGAAGGAAATTTTTAAACTTTGATTGTCAGTGGAAATCTGCCCTTAGTAAGCCAATATATACTCCATAAAGTTAAAAGAAACTACCTAGTCCAGTAAAATAACTGAGTTGAAGATACATAATCCATTAAGTATACTGACACTTTAAAGATATGCATTATGTTTAACTTTATAGGGAGTCATTTTCCCTAGAGACATTTAGGTTTTTGAAAACATGTCACTGGGCTCCTCCAGTTCTTAGATTTTTGGGGTACTCAACCAAAGAGCAGAAATGACCAGATGTAATGTCTAAAAGTCCTAAAAGCATTACAACACTACCAGCAGTCACAATGAAAACCAAAAATGCAACCCAACCACCCAAGAATAGTCATTTGCTTTTATGTTTTAAGTATGATCAACATCAACATGCTCATCTATTTAGCTGTAGGTTACATAATGTTGGTTCTCTAGGCCTCTAACTAGAAAAGGTGATAACGCACATTTTTCTGAGAAAATTTTAAGTGAGATCTTTCCAATTATCATATAAACAAATACCCGAGGACTTTTTTCCATTTTCCAAAACTATATGAAAATCTTACACATTAAATAGACACAGGCAAAAATTCTATCTCTAACCTAAGAGATCACAAATGACCTAAAAAAGATATTTTCATATCTTTCTAAATTTTCAAAGTAAATTTCCTAAAATGGCCTTATTTTTAATTTACTTAAAACAGCTAGATATCATGGCAATACTTCTAGTAATACAAAGTAAAACACACTCCCAAATGACTAGATGTGTAAATAAGTAAAATAAGTGGAGTTTGAGCGACTGCCAATTTCAGTTTATTGCAAGCAAATGCAAAATTAAATGGTAATTAAGAGTTAATTGTTTTAAAAATATTAAGATTAGAAGAATATTTTTAAATAAAATGAAAAAAATACCTAATCCAAAAATATTCCATCTGAGAATCTGTATACTTACAAAGATCTTGTATTTTCAGTACTGTTTTCAATTTAAGACAGAAAAATTGAAAATTATTGAGATAACTTTTCAAAATCATCTTTAACCAAAGGAGCTGCTTGTAATACAAAAACAGAAATAGCTAATATATATTTTTTTCCAAAAATAAACAGACCACAGCACTCAAATGCCTGTACTAAAGTTAGAGGAATTTAACAAACATTTGGATACCTACTGTGTACCAGGTACTAGAAGCTGAGAACAAAAAACAAAATAATGTATGATCCTGGGCCTTGAAGGAGCTCATAGCTCATGGTATATTACAGGGGATTATACACTTAGATATTTATAAGTTTTAGGAGATCAATAAGACTAATCAAATGACTAAGAAAGTATAGAGGGACAAAAAAGGGGCCAATCAATCCAGCCCAGGAAGTCTTCTTAAAAACTATGCATGATTTATATATGATTTATTCAGGCTTATACAGATAACTCATTTTTATAACCAATTTCTCAAGGTACTATAAAGTTTACCTGACAACTGTCTGAAATTCAGATTCAGCTAATACATTACAAACATCTATGTCAAGACTAGGCAAGTGAATTAATGTGTGAAGTGGGATACATGAGGGTGTACATCTTGTCTAGAGAAGAAAGTGGCTACTCAAGTGTAGTTGACTTCCCTGTGGGAATGGGAGCCAAATGTTCCCAATTGTGTGGTTAACAGCCAACCTAGACTTTTACCTGTAGTCTCTCAATTGTGTAATACTGACCCAATTAGGCCGGCATGGTGGCTCACGCCTGTAATCCCAGCACCTGGGGAGGCCGAGGCGAGTGGATCACGAGGTAAGGAGTTCGAGACCAGCCTGGCCAATATGGTGAAACCCTGTCTCCACTAAAAAATACAAATTAGCTGGGTGTGGTGGCACACACCTGTCGTGGTGGCATGTGCCTGAATCACTGGAACCCAGAAGGCAGAGGTTGCAGTGAGCTGAGATTGCACCACTGCACTCCAGCCGGGGTGACAGAGCAAGACTCTGTCTCATAAATAAATAAATAAATAAATAAATAAATAAATAAAAATAAAAATAAAAATACTGACCCAATTAAACAAACAAAAACTCTTTCAGCCAAACTATGGTCTGTGGTCTAAGTTGGGTCCATGGGCCAACAGTGTGCACCCCCAGCCTATACTTTAGGTCATATACTTCCACATACATTATCTATCCTATTTAATTGAAATGTTTGACTATCTTCTTCAGAGTCTTAAGGAAATAAACAGAATTTAGGTACTTAATGAATTGGAAATCTAGATGGAAATAAATTCATTCTTTAATAACAAAGTATTCTGGGTAATGTCAGTCTATTCATCCCAAGGAAAAAACTGAGGAAGTGGATTAAAAACAGAAAATAAAAGAACCTCTATGTGGTCACTTGATGTGGACCCCTATAATCGTCTGAATCTGATTTCTTCACTTGATTATCAAAACAGAACAAATGTTCCCAATGACAGAATCACAACGTCCTCATGATCTGCTTAGGTAACCCACTACAGTATTAGTGTCTTATTCATAAGGTTTAACCTAAATCTTTGCTACACAGCTTGATTCCATTATCATTTGTCCTTTCCTCATTGGCCATTATCTGCATGATAAAACAAACATCCAGAGAATGTGTAAGCAGAAAGGAGATAATGAATCAAAGGCAGCTATTATAACTATGTTGAAAACAAGTTTAGTCATGTTGAAAATAGCCTTTGGCCAGGCACGGTGGCTCACGCCTATAACCCCAGCACTTTGGGAGGCCGAGGCAGGGGGACTGCATGAGCTCAGGAGCTCAAGACCAGCCTGGGCAACACAGTGAAACCCCATCTCTACTAAAATACAAAAAAATCAGCCGGGCATGGCAGTGTGCATCTGTAGTCCCAGCTACTTAGAAGGCTGAGGAAGAGAATTGCTTGAACCCGGGAGGCAGCAGTTGCAATGAGTCGCGATTGTGCCACTGCACTCCAGCCTGAGTGACAGAGTAAGACTCTGTCTCCAAAAAAAAAAGAAAATGGCCTGGATGCTGGGAGTGAAAAAATCATCTTAATAACTTCACTGATGCCACTAATATTATTACATGACATTCACACACAAAAAATATGGCCTACATTTGAATGCTTTTATAATTGGCAATAAAAAGTAAAGATCATAAACACTAGTAATTGATTCTATCACTTACCATGTAATGGAGATGAAATGGGTTTTATTAAGCAATCTTTTACATTTCCTAATCTAGAAACAAACCAAGTGTTCAATTCAGAGAGATTAATTTCATATTAGTGAAAACTTTAACTGGGATACAGACTTGACATAAAAGGAATCAAAGCTTGGAAACTAAGGGAATCAAAGCTTGGAAACTAAGTATAGACTCATATATTAAAAAGCTGTCTAAAAAGTAATATACACCTAAAATATGCCATATATTTCATATGTAATATATGTCTAAAAATAATAGTATTGAGGATGTTTATCTCAACGAATACAAAGGCTTTCATCTACAAGTAAGATAATGCACTGGAGTATTATTTTTAAATTATTTCCTAACATGGAGGGACCACCTCAAAAGCACTGCCAGACTGTAGAAATAGTACTTTATTTCCTGAGGAAGGTACTGTAAGAAATTCTGAAGTTTAAGAAAAAGAAGTAAAGCAGCTAAAATAACAAGGGCTATAATATCTCAAATGGAAATGAAAAGACTAAAGGACCTTAACATTTAAATGCCTCTTTAAAAAAAAAAAAACTTTATTGGTATTTTTTTAGTTTCTGCCACATTATTTTTAAATTTAATATTAAGGATATTTTTACTCATACACACCAAAGTAGAGGAAATATGTAATGAGCTGCTTTAAATACATCACACAGCTTTAACAACTTTTGCTATTTTGGATTCTTGTTTCATCCATCTTCCCTAATTTATTCTCACCAAACTTAATAACTTTTATCAAATCAGAAAGTTTTAAAATTGTTCTTTCATAAAACATTTTAAATAGAAGTGTACACAAGTATTATGTATCACACATACAGAATTATACTATATATACTATATACTATATATAATATATATAGTATAACATATATACTGTATATATACAGAACTATACTACGTTGTCAATATTACAGTCTGTGGGGAAAAGAGAGATCAGCCTGTTACTGTGTCTATATAGAAAGAAGTAGACATAAGAGACTCCATTTTGTTCTGTATTTGAGATGCTGTTAATCTGTGACCCTACCCCCAACCTTGTCCTTGCAAGAGACATGTGCTGTGGTGACTCCTCAAGGTTTAATGGATTTTGGGCTGTGCAGGATGTGTCTTTGTTAAACAAGTGCCTGAAGGCAGCTTGCTGGTTAAAAGTCATCCCCATTCCCTTAATTTCAACTATCCAGGGACACATACAGGGCCAAAGGTCGCAGG